GAAATAAATTTTTATATTCGTTTTTACCAAATTTTGATTGTCTGATGGCGTTCGGGTGAGGGTGCTAGTACTTAAAAATTAAAATAAAATTCTCTATTCTTTAGGATTGTGTAGGGCTTAGTCCCTACTAAGAATCTGGTATTTTTCAGATGATTTAAATTATTAAATTTGGAAGAAATAAATTTTTATTTTCGTTTTTACCAAATTTTGATTGTCTGATGACGTACGGGTGGACCTGCTACTACTAAAAAATTAAAATAAAATTCTCTATTCTTAAGGATTGTGTAGGGCTCAGTCGCTACTAGAAGTCTGGTAATTTTCAGATGATTAGAATTATTAAATTTGGAAGAAATAAATTTCTATTTTCGTTTTTAACAAATTATGATTGTCTGATGACGTACGGGTGGACCTGCTACTACTAAAAAATTAAAATAAAATTCTCTATACTTAAGAATTGTGTAGGGCTCAGTCCCTACTAGAAGTCTGGTAATTTTCAGATGATTAGAATTATTAAATTTGGAAGAAATAAATTTTTATTTTCGATTTTACCAAATTTTGATTGTCTGATGGCGTTCGGGTGAGGGTGCTAGTACTTAAAAATTAAAATAAAATTCTCTATTCTTTAGGATTGTGTAGGGCTCAGTCCCTACTAAGACTCTGGTAATTTTCAGAAAATTAAAATTATTAAATTTGGAAGAAATAAATTTTTATTTTCGTTTTTAACAAATTATGATTGTCTGATGACGTACGGGTGGACCTGCTACTACTAAAAAATTAAAATATAATTCTCTATTCTTAAGGATTGTGTAGGGCTCAGTCCCTACTAGAAGTCTGGTAATTTTCAGATGATTAGAATTATTAAATTTGGAAGAAATAAATTTTTATTTTCGTTTTTACCAAATTATGATTGTCTGATGACGTACGGGTGGACCTGCTACTACTAAAAAATTAAAATAAAATTGTCTATTCTTAAGGATTGTGTAGGGCTCAGTCCCTACTAGAAGTCTGGTAATTTTCAGATGATTAGAATTATTAAATTTGGAAGAAATAAATTTTTATTTTCGATTTTACCAAATTTTGATTGTCTGATGGCGTTCGGGTGAGGGTGCTAGTACTTAAAAATTAAAATAAAATTCTCTATTCTTTAGGATTGTGTAGGGCTCAGTCCCTACTAAGACTCTGGTAATTTTCAGAAAATTAAAATTATTAAATTTGGAAGAAATAAATTTTTATTTTCGTTTTTAACAAATTATGATTGTCTGATGACGTACGGGTGGACCTGCTACTACTAAAAAATTAAAATAAAATTGTCTATTCTTAAGGATTGTGTAGGGCTCAGTCCCTACTAGAAGTATGGTAATTTTCAGATGATTAAAATTATTAAATTTGGAAGAAAAAAATTTTTATTTTCGTTTTTACCAAATTATGATTGTCTGATGGCGTACGGGTGGACCTGCTACTACTAAAAAATTAAAATAAAATTCTCTATTCTTAAGGATTGTGTAGGGCTCAGTCCCTACTAGAAGTCTAGTAATTTTCAGATGATTAAAATTATTAAATTTGGAAGAAATAAATTTTTATTTTCGTTTTTACCAAATTATGATTGTCTGATGGCGTACGGGTGGACCTGCTACTACTTAAAAATTAAAATAAAATTCTCTATTTTTAAGGATTGTGTAGGGCTCAGTCTCTACTAGAAGTCTGGTAATTTTCAGATGATTAGAATTATTAAATTTGGAAGAAATAAATTTCTATTTTCGTTTTTACCAAATTATGATTGTCTGATGGCGTACGGGTGGACCTGCTACTACTTAAAAATTAAAATAAAATTCTCTATTCTTTAGGATTGTGTAGGGCTTAGTCCCTACTAAGAATCTGGTAATTTTCAGATGATTAAAATTATTAAATTTGGAAGAAATAAATTTTTATTTTCGTTTTTACCAAATTTTGAATGTCTGATGGCGTTCGGGTGAGGGTGCTAGTACTTAAAAATTAAAATAAAATTTTCTATTCTTTAGGATTGTGTAGGGCTCAGTCCCTACTAAGACTCTGGTAATTTTCAGAAAATTAAAATTATTAAATTTGGAAGAAATAAAATTTTATTTTCGTTTTTAACAAATTATGATTGTCTGATGACGTACGGGTGGACCTGCTACTACTAAAAAATTAAAATAAAATTCTCCATTCTTTAGGATTGTGTAGGGCTCAGTCCCTACTAGAAGTCTGGTAATTTTCAGATGATTAGAATTATTAAATTTGGAAGAAATAAATTTCTATTTTCGTTTTTACCAAATTTTGATTGTCTGATGACGTACGGGTGGACCTGCTACTACTAAAAAATTAAAATAAAATTCTCTATTCTTAAGGATTGTGTAGGGCTCAGTCCCTACTAGAAATCTAGTAATTTTCAGATGATTAGAATTATTAAATTTGGAAGAAATAAATTTTTATTTTCGTTTTTACCAAATTTTGAATGTCTGATGGCGTTCGGGTGAGGGTGCTAGTACTTAAAAATTAAAATAAAATTTTCTATTCTTTAGGATTGTGTAGGGCTCAGTCCCTACTAAGACTCTGGTAATTTTCAGAAAATTAAAATTATTAAATTTGGAAGAAATAAAATTTTATTTTCGTTTTTAACAAATTATGATTGTCTGATGACGTACGGGTGGACCTGCTACTACTAAAAAATTAAAATAAAATTCTCTATTCTTAAGGATTGTGTAGGGCTCAGTCCCTACTAGAAGTCTGGTAATTTTCAGATGATTAGAATTATTAAATTTGGAAGAAATAAATTTTTATTTTCGTTTTTATCAAATTTTGATTGTCTGATGGCGTTCGGGTGAGGGTGCTAGTACTTAAAAATTAAAATAAAATTCTCTATTCTTTAGGATTGTGTAGGGCTTAGTCCCTACTAAGAATCTGGTAATTTTCAGATGATTAAAATTATTAAATTTGGAAGAAATAAATTTTTATTTTCGTTTTTACCAAATTCTGATTGTCTGATGGCGTACGGGTGGACCTGCTACTACTTAAAAATTAAAATAAAATTCTCTATTTTTAAGGATTGTGTAGGGCTCAGTCCCTACTAGAAGTCTAGTAATTTTTAGATGATTAAAATTATTAAATTTGGAAGAAATAAATTTTTATTTTCGTTTTTACCAAATTATGATTGTCTGATGGCGTACGGGTGGACCTGCTACTACTTAAAAATTAAAATAAAATTCTCTATTCTTAAGGATTGTGTAGGGCTCAGTCCCTACTAGAAGTCTAGTAATTTTTAGATGATTAAAATTATTAAATTTGGAAGAAATAAATTTTTATTTTCGTTTTTACCAAATTATGATTGTCTGATGGCGTACGGGTGGACCTGCTACTACTTAAAAATTAAAATAAAATTCTCTATTCTTAAGGATTGTGTAGGGCTTAATCCCTACTAGAACTCTGGTAAGTTTCAGATGATTAGAATTATTAAATTTGGAAGAAATAAATTTTTATTTTCGTTTTTACCAAATTTTGATTGTCTGATGGCGTTCGGGTGAGGGTGCTAGTACTTAAAAATTAAAATAAAATTCTCTATTCTTTAGGATTGTGTAGGGCTCAGTCCCTACTAAGACTCTGGTAATTTTTAGATGATTAAAATTATTAAATTTAGAAGAAATAAATTTTTATTTTCGTTTTTACCAAATTTTGATTGTCTGATGACATACGGGTGGACCTGCTACTACTTAAAAATAAAAATAAAATTCTCTATTTTTAAGGATTGTGTAGGGCTTAATCCCTACTAGAACTCTGGTAAGTTTCAGATGATTAGAATTATTAAATTTGGAAGAAATAAATTTTTATTTTCGTTTTTACCAAATTTTGATTGTCTGATGGCGTTCGGGTGAGGGTGCTAGTACTTAAAAATTAAAATAAAATTCTCTATTTTTAAGGATTGTGTAGGGCTTAGTCCCTACTAGAAGTCTGGTAATTTTCAGATGATTAGAATTATTTAATTTGGAAGAAATAAATTTTTATTTTCGTTTTTACCAAATTATGATTGTCTGATGGCGTACGGGTGGACCTGCTACTACTAAAAAATTAAAATAAAATTCTCTATTCTTAAGGATTGTGTAGGGCTCAGTCCCTACTAGAACTCTGGTAATTTTCAGATGGTTCATTTTTTTGTGAAAAATTAAATTATTTATTAATTCTATAAATATTGATAAAATATATACTTTATATACATGAATCGATTCGTTTTTTATGTGAGGAATGCAATTTTGACAAGAATTAATGAAAATTTTAATATAGAAAAGAGTTATTTCAAAAAATACAAAAATTTATGTTTTCAAAAATTAAGAAATTGTTAAAAAAAATTTTTTTTTTTAGTCATTTTTGAAAATTTTTTTGTCTGTTTTTCGGTATTTGTGACCGTAAATACACCTACAAAATTTTATTAAAATCTTTCCAAACATGTAAGAGAAAATTTGTCCACAAGAATCGGTGACACACACACATATACATCCGGACATTTGTTCCTCTCAACGAATTATATATACTACACTAGAAAATTTATAATAATTGATTCTAAAAAATTCGTAAATCGGCATCACTGTGTGTGAAGAAGGAGATAGGGTAGAAAGACGACCGACACAACACCGAAACTTTCCTAAAAATTTATTAAAGATTTACTTGCAAACTTCCAAGTATTTACTTGCAAAGTTTAGTGGAAATTTTGTAAAGATTTAAATGTCTCACTTCAACATACATGTTTAGCGTGAAACTTTCCTGAAAATTTTAAAAAAATTTTCAAGAAATTATTACTTACATTTTCGCTTGTAAAAGAGAAGTCAAAAATTTAATTTAAATATTCAAAAAAGTTTTAAGCTAAATTTTTAGGAAAAATTTCGGTGCTGTTTGGGAACGAAGACGATAAAACGAGTATTAAGGAAGAAATTATACATTTTAAAAAGAAAGTCCAGAGGAGGAAAATAGTAAAACAAGGAGTAGAAGTATACCTTTTCATCAACCTGAAACCCAAACCAACAGAATAGGAAAACTAGTGACAGTATTGTTGTCACGTATTGCGCTAAAGTTACCAAATGTCCGTTAAATAAGCTTTCCTCCTGAAAAAGGTAAGAATTGTTTAATGTACAAAAAAGAATGTAAATAGAGGATGCAAAATAATAGTTAAAACAAAAAAGCGTACCTTCTTGGCAAAAAGACTTAACAAATAACTAATTGTACACTAACCTGTGCGATTTTAAACAAAATAGTACAAAGAATCAACAGACTACAGAAGAAGAACGGAAAAATGATAATCATAAAGAATGCTTCAATTTGCTTGACAACATCTAATATCCGAACATGATGTTTGACATACTCCTTTATTAAATTCGACGCCGATTCTTTTTCCTTTCGATCAATATTCCCTATTCTATAAGTACACAATTCAAATTGTCCAATGGTTATTAAGAGGAATCCCATCACCATTGTGTCCAATGTTATCGTACAAAGAATCGAAAATTGATTTAAAATCGATTGATAAATATACATTCCAACGAATACAATTGGATTCCTTATATCAAATACATGATACATCTTGAATGGAAGTTCAATTTCCGTATTTTCTTCACGTTTCATTAATGGCGTTAATATAATAAATATTCCGCATATCTCCACGAATACATTGATAAGAAAAATTTTTTGCGATTTCCTGAAGTATTTATTGAGAATAAATTTTTCATCACTTGTTTTTGCCTTAAATGTCTCGTGACGGAAGTTTTGTAAAATTTCCCCCATTTCACGTTCCTTGATGACAAAATTTATCAGCTTGAAACAAAATTGCAAAAAAGTTAGCGCTGGATAAATGTCGGCAAAATTTTCCACACTATCGGCTGATATGATAAACTGTACAATTTCCGCTATTGTAAAATAATGAATGGAAAAAAGAACCAAGATTTTGTAGATTCTTCTCAGTGTGGGAAATTTTGTGTCTTCATTCCACACGCCACAGAACCACATTGTCTTAAATTGTCGGGGCAAAATATCCATTGTTGTATAAATTATTCAGTGTCGAATATGAATGTTATTCGTTTCGGAAACGTTCCTAGAATCGAAACATACAATTTCGACTCTCGGGAAACAAACATGTAATCACGGAAATTCAGAGAAAATTTATGCTTTTGAAAATAAAATAGAAGAAAAATTGTCACCAAAAATGTGACAAATTTTTATTTTTTTTTCAGCACAATTTCAAATTGGATATTATGTTCCACGGAATATGATGGTCGATTTATTCAGAATCTGTAATTTAACAATTTCAAATACTGTACGGTAAATGAAACCTACAATTTCCGACTTTTATTTATAGAGCAGTTTGCCTTTATATTGAAGAATTGTGAATTATTAATAAAATGAAGAAACAGAGGATAATTTCGTCCAACAATTTGATTATAGATCTACTGTTAGGAGTCGCAGTCTAAATATTTCTTGAATTTGTGTATATATGTAGAAGCACACATCGTATATGGAATTGAATAAATTACATATGCGAGGAAAAGCAGTTCCTTTTTTTACACGATTACGGGAAGATATAGAGTCTGGAAAGGGGGGAGAAAAAAAAGTATATCAGCAATCTTTGATTCCATTTATATTACTGTAAATGTCACTGATTGAGTTTGAGAAATAGCAGATTGTCTTCATGACCGTTATATCTTATCGCTTTAAGAGCACGGTTCACGTGTTTTACATGTAAAGCTCCTTTTTTTCTAAAAGAACGATTTAAGAGAACAACAGTGCAAATTAAACTGAATTTTTAATATCAAATATGATAACCGTTCTTTTTCCAAGTGAGTAAAAATCTAATTTTCAAAATCAAACTTAATTACTCTATTGGTAAAACTAAAATACAAAATTAAAAAGTTGCGTTTATTTAATAGTTGAATTAACAGAAAATGTGTATTATTTCTTATTACGTTTCCCGGTAGTTGAAAAGTGTGATTTATTAGATATATTTTATGGGGTTTAAATAATCTCTCTCTCTCCCCGAGAGCAACGATGTGAGGAAATAAGTCGTTTTTTCAGAAAACTAACTTCTCTCATTCGCCTTAATCGTAATTTTCCTGTAGTCTTGGATTTCTGCGTCTGTGGAATTCGCTCAGACATTTCCGAATGCCGAAGGGTCTTTACTCCTTTCCTCTAAGTGTCTAAGTATTGCAATCTTTTGTTTAAGGATCGTTTTAGTACTATTTTTTTTCTACTCCCATCACTTTGGGTAAAATGTATTTAATATTTAATTTTTTCCCTTTATAATAATAGTTACGGTACTAAAATCCCTGTACTTTTTTTTTGTAAAATTTCAGGAAGAAGAATATTCTTGTTTGGAGTCGAAGATGATTTTTCCATGCAGGTTGATGATTAATTATATAATTATCCGTTATAAGCACACGTGCGATTGCACACATATATATACAGAGAAGTAGTTTTCGTCACGGGCCATAGCCATTGTATAGCGGAGACTTGTCTGCAAATCTTGAAGTGCAGGTGTTTTTCGCACTTGAAATAATGGGCAAGTGCATTATCACAATAGCGTGACCAACATGTTGTTAGAAGAATATCACGATACCGCCAAATAAGTCAAACTTTATTACGAGCATTACATATTTATATTCGAAAAGTCATTAATACCGTAATGTTTCACATATTAGGCGGCAACAAATAAGTGTTTTTTCTAAAACTATACAATAATTTAAAATTCAGAAGTGGGAAAACAAAAGAATTTAAATTTTCTAGTTTCAGGGCACGAATTAGTGAAAGTATTTAAAAATACGGACTTTACAGACCAAAAATGAAAAATTACGGACCAATTACTGATAAAAATATAACCAGTCCGAATTAAATAAAAAAACACTTTACTTAAAACTAGAAATTATTTTTTTTCATAAATATAAAACATGAAGAAATGAATCACTCCGAGTCTTCGACTCGGAATGATTCATTTCTTCATGTTTTATATTAATTAAAGATGGCCCAGTGATAAAATCATTACTTCATATTGTTAGAATATTGTTCTGTAACTTTTTCAAAATTATTTTCATCATTTCAATAATTGAAATGATGAAAATAATTTTGAAAAAGTTAAATTGAAAATTGTTAAATTGAAAAAGTTAAATTATTTAATTATTATTTTCTAGAATTTTTAACTAAAATTCTTCTTTAAATCAATTATTTATAATAATTTGTAAAAACATTCTGAGAATTTTCAAATCTATTTGTTTACAATTAAATTTTACGAAATTTCATTGATAATTCGGAAATTCTTCAATTAATATAAATTTGAAAATAAAACTTTGAATAATTTCAATGAAACTTTTTGAAAAAAATTAATTATACAGAATTGTTAGTTAAAAATATGAAAAATTCAGATTTTCGAAGAATTTAATTTGAAACTTTTTCAAAATTCAAGCTATATCGCTTTTAATAATCAATTATTATCTAAAATTTTTACAAAAATCCATTTTTAAACCCATTTTTATTAAAAAATTCTAAGAAAATTCAATTATTTAAATACAAAAATAAATAATTTATATTGAATAATTGAATGTTTCTTAAAATTAAATTCACTTAAAAAATGTTATCAACAAATTTTTAAATAATTGATTTTTTTCGACGAATTTCAATAAAATTTTTAAGAATAATTACATTTTTCGAGAAATTTGATTAAAATTGTATTCAAAATAATTTAAATTCTGCAAAGAGTTTTATTATTTATGAAAATAATTGAATTATTGAGAAGAAATTTATAAAAATTTTTTAAATAATTGAATTATTGTGAAAAAATTTATAATATATTTTATTTATTGAATAATTGAATGTTTCTTAAAATTCAATTCTCATAAAGAAATTTATAAACAATTTTTTAGATAATTGAATTCTTAAAATAATTAATATTCCGAGATGAGTTTTATTATTTAAGAAAATAATTGAATACGTAAAAAGAATTTTATTATTTTTAAACAATATTTAATTTTTGCAAAAAATATTACTACTCTTGAAAAAATTGAATTTCTGCAATAATTTGTAACTTCTCTAATATTAAATTTTTTTTAGTGTTTAAATATTCAATTATTGTCTAAATTTTTAACTGAAATTCATTTTTAAATCAATTTTTATAAGAAAATTCTAAATCCAATTATTTAAATTCAAAAATAATGTATTTGACAATAAAATTCAATTCTCATAAAGAATTTTATCAACTTTTGAAATAATTGAATTCTTGCGAAGAATTTTAATAAAATTTTTAAGAATAATCACATGTTTCGAGAAATTCGATTAAAATTACATTAAAAATAATTGAAATTCACCGATGAATTTTATTATTAGTGAAAATAATTGAATCCCTAAGAAGTTTTAAAAATTTCTGAACAGAATTGAATTTCTGAAAAGAATTTTATTGCTCTTGAAAATGTAATTGAATTTTTGCAATAATTTGCAACTTCTCCAAAATTCAATTTTTTTTAGTGTTTTTAACTAAAATTTTTTTATAAATCCATTATTTTTAATAAGTTTTGAAACAGTTCTTTGAGAATTTTCAAATTTTTATTTTTAATTCAATTTTAAAAAATTTCCATTCTTCGGAAATTCTTCAATTAAATATATATTAGAAAATAAAAACTTCAAAAAAAAAATTTTGAAGTAAAATTCAAAAAAATTTATTCTTCTACAGAATTGTTAGTTAAAAGTATGAAAAATTCTAATTTTCAAAGATTGTAATTCGGAACCTATTTAAAATTCAATTATTTCGAAAAATTCAGGCTATAATGCTTTTAATATTCAATTATTGTCTATTTTAACTGAAATTTATTTTTGATTCAAATTTTTATTAGAAAATTCTACTAGAATTGAATTATTTAAATACAAAAATAAATAATTTATTAAATAATTGAATGTTTCTTAAAATTGAATTTTCGTAAAGAGCTTTATCAACTTAAATAATTGAATTCTTTTGACTCATTTTAATAAAATTTTTAGGGAGAATTCCTTTTTTGAGAAATTTGATTAAAATTGTATTAAAGATAATTGAAATTCTGCAATGAGTTTTATTATTTATGAAAATAATTGAATCCCTGTAAAAATTTTATTATTTATGAAAATAATTGAATTGTTGTGAAGAAATTTATAAAAAAAATGGAAAATAATTGAATTCTTGAGAATTTTTTATTATTTATGAAAATAATTGAAATTTATACAAAATTTGTAAATAATTGAAATCCTGTAAAATTTTTATTATTTATGAAAATAATAATGAAATGTTTACGTAGAATTTTATTATAATTTTTTTAAATAATAATTGAATTCTTTTGGAAAATTTTATTAAAAAAGCTGATATTGAAAATCATTGAATTGAGAAAACTTTTTTAAAACAATTAAATTCTTTCGATAAATTTTAATAACATTTTTTAAGAATTGTTACATTTTTCAAGGAATTCGATTAAAATTGTATTAAAAGAATGGAAATTCTGCGATCAGTTTAATTATTTATGAAAATAATTGAATTATTTCGAGAAGAAATTATTATTTATTAAAATATTTGACTCCCTGTGAAATTTTTATTATTTATGAAAATAATTCAATTATTGCGATAAAATTTATAAAAAATTTGTAAATAATTCAATTCCTGTGAAATTCTCTATTATTTTATGAAAATAATTAAATTTTTACGTAGAATTTTATTAAAATTTGTTTAAATAATTGAATTTTAATGGAAAATTTTATTAAAATAGTTGATATTAAAAATTATTGAATTGAGGCAAATTTTTGAAAATAATTGAATTTCAGAGAAGAATTTTAATAAAATTTTTGAAAATAATTGAATTTCAGAGAAGAATTTTATTATTTCTAAAGATAATTGAAATTTTGACGAGAATTTTTAATAATTTCTAAACGGAATTGAATTTTTGCGAAGAGTTCTATTACTTTTGAAAATAATTGAATTTCTGCAATCATTTATAATTTCTCTAAAATTCTCCAAATTATATCGTACGAGCCCTGTAATTTCTTTTCGAATACTCATTAATTCGTTCAGATCATTACTCGATTAGTTAAGTACTGTAAAATTTAATTAAAATTTCTATGTATAAATAATTTGTATAGAATACTAATTGTTTATTCTCATTTTCAGTGTAATGATCCTGGGAGTAATTTAGAAAATTTACTCGAGTGGAGAAAAAGAAATTAGAAAAATTTTATTACGGATTTTTTGTATAATGCGTAAACACTAGATAACGATGAGTAAAATATATCAAACAGTATATCTATTTGAAAATAAATTTATCCTAATGGAATTTATTTTAATGGAAAGAATATTTTTAATTTTAAAATTTAAAATTTAAATTTAAAATTTAAAATTTAAAATTTAAAATTTAAAATTTAAAATTTAAAATTTAAAATTTTAAATTAAAAATTAAAAATTAAAAATTAAAAATTTTTATTTAATGAAAAGAAGGAAATGATTGCGAATACATTCGGATCTATGAGGAAGGAAAAGAGGACAAAATAATGTAAAGAAGAAGTTTGATGTGGTACAACTTGTCACGGAAACCTTTTAACCCAAATTGTGTTTTACGAAAAATGAAGAGTCCGTTGATGCTATAAAGAAAAAAAATTGTATCGCTAATGGTGACGGTTTTGAATATCTGGGATATGGATGATGTTTTATGTTAAGTACTCAATCATCAGCCAGATCACGAAACGAGACTCATTGTAATCAATAATGGACATCGTTGTAGGTCCTTGTTCCCGTCAAACAATAATCAGTCCTTGTGAGTTTTATTAATAAGTGGTACCTTTAAAAGCAATCGCAATTTCCTTCGTTCAGTTTAGTTCTCAATATGTGTTTCGCAAACGCAGTTTGTTGCTCCCTTTGGGAAACTTTTCATTTTCGGGTAAATTTTACAGATTTTTTTTTTTTTTGTATAATTGTCGCAAATAATATTGAATCGATGTTGGAATATTGAAATAGTGAACCAATATTAAAATACTGGAACAATATTGAAATAGAGAAACAATATTTAAATACAGACACAGTAAAACGTGAGGTGTTAAAATAACACCAGAATGGATTAAAATAATCTGCAACAGTTAAATCCCTCTAGGATTAAATTAACACCAGAAAGGATTAAAATAATCTATTTTGGTGTTATTTTTAACTATGAATGTAATTTTACTTTAAATAAAACACCAAAGTCAACGATTTGTAAAAATTCAACGAATTTATCTTCTCCAGGGAGAATAGTAAGTTAGTTACTAACTAACTTAGTAACATAGTAACTATGTTCAATTGTGTTCAAAAATTTAAAAAAATTCTCTTCAAAATTCCAATTCTCTTTATAAATAATAAAATTCTTCTCTGATATTCCATTATTTTACAAAAGTTTAATCAAATTCTTGTCAAAATTTCAATTATTTTCAAAAGTTTTCTAAAATTCAATGATTTTCAATTATCTACTATTTCAATAAAATTTTCCAAAAGAATTCCATTATTAGAAAAAAATTGAATAAAATTCTACGCAAACATTCAATTATTTTCATAAATAATCAAAATTTTTACAGAAAATCAACTATTTACAAATATTTTATAAATTTCTTCGCAATAATTCAATTATTTTCATAATAAATAATAACTTTTTTACAGAGATTCAATTATTTTTATAAATAATAAAATTCTTTTAGGAATTCAATTATTTTCATAAATAACAAAACTCATTGCATGAATTTCAATTATTTTTAATGCAATTTTAATCGAATTCCTCGAAAAATGTAATTATTCTGAAAAATTTTATTAAAATTCGTCCAAAGAATTTAATGATTTAAAAAATTTGTTGATAACATTTTTTATGAGAATTTAATTTCAAGAAACATGAAATTAATAAATTATTTATTTTTGTATTTAAATAAGTGATTTCTCGTGTAGAATTTACTAATAAGAATGGTAGATAATTAATTTTTGAAAAAGTTTCAAATTAAAATATCATTAAAATTCCTAATTTTTCATATTTTTGACAAACAATTCTGTAGAATTAATTCTTTTTAAAAGTTTAATAAGATTTTTATTGAAATTATTTCAAGTTCTTATTTTTGAATTTATATTTAATTGGAGAATTTTCGAAAATGAAAATTTTGTAAAATTGAATTGTAAACAAATAAATTTGAAAATTCTCAAAGACCTTTTTTAAAAATTATGAAAAATAATGAATTTATAGAAGAATTTTAGTTAAAAACACTAAAAAAATTGTATTTTGAAGAAGTTGCAAATTATTGCAAAACTTCAATTATTTTCAAGAGCAATAAAATTTTTTTCAGAAATTCAATTCTGTTCAGAAATTTTTAAAAATTCTTCTTAGGGATTCAATTATTTTCACTAATAATAAAATTCATCGGTGAATTTCAATTATTTTTAATATAATTTTCATCAGATTTCTCGAATAATGTGATTATTATTAAAAATTTTATTAAAATTCCTCGCAAAAATTCAATTATTTAAAAAGTTGATAAAATTCTTTATGAGAATTGAATTTTATATTCAAATAAATTACTTTTGTATTTAAATAATTGGATTCTCGTAGAATTTTTTAATCAAAATTGATTTAAAAATGAATTTCAGTTAAAATTTTTGATAATAATTGAATATTTAAAGCAATATAGCTTGAATTTTTAGAAATATTTGAATTTCGAAATTAATTTTTTTAAAAAAGTTTATTTGAATTATTTTTTATATTATTTGAAGTTTTTATTCTACGTAAACATTCAATTATTTTCGTAAATTATAAAACACTTCTCAGGAATTCCATTATTTTTGAAAAATTTAATAAAATTCGTAGCAACTATTCAATTATTTTCATATATATAAAAAAATTCATCGCAGGATTTCAATTATTTTTAATCCAATTATTTATTAAAAATAATTATTTTTAATTATTCCTAAAAATTTAATTTCAATTCCTCGAAAAAATCAATTATTTAAAAAAATGGTTTTTTTTAAATTCTTTGAAAAAAGTCAATTATTTACAAAAATATTAGAATTTTTCACAGGAATTCAATTACTTTCAAATATTTTAATAAAATTGTTCTAAAGGAATCAATTATTTTAAATACGATTTTAATTATATTCTTTTGAAATAATTCAATTATTCTTTTAGTTTTAAATAAAATTCTTCACAAGAATTCAATTATGTCGATAAATATCAAAATTATTCCAGAAAATTAAATTGTTTTGATTCATTTTAAAAAAATTCTTTGCAAAATTCAATTATTTTCCTAAATAACAATATTAATCACGAAAATAAACTTATTTTCAAGAGTAATAAAATGCTTTTCAGAAATTCAATTATTTTCATAAATAATAAAAATTTCCCAAGAATTTAATTATTTACAATTTTTTTTATAAATTTCTTCACAATAATTCAATTTTATTCATAAAAAATAAATCTCAGTGCAGAATTTCGATTATTTTTAATACAATAAATTTTAATCAAATATCTCAAAAATGTAATTATTCTTAAAAATTTTATTAAAATTCATCAAAAGAATTCAGTTATTTGAAAATTTTTTGATAAAATTCTTTACGATGATTTAATTTTAAGAAACATTCAATTTTAAATAAATTATTAATTTTTGTATTTTAATTATTCAATTCTAGTAGAATTTTCTAATAAAAATTGATTTAAAAATTAATTTCAGTTAAAATTTTAGATTATAATTGAATATTAAAAGCAATATAGCGTCAATTTTTGGATATAATTGAATTTTTAAATTAATTTCTTTTAAATTATTTGAAGTTTTTATTTTCTAATATGCATTTAATTAAAGAATTTAGGAATAATTGAAAATTTTTAATTTTAATTTTCGTGAAATTGAATACTGTAAAAAAATGGATTTGAAAATTGCCAAAGAACTTTTTCGAAAATTATTAAAAATAATTGATATAAAGTAAAATTGTAGTTAAAAATTTTTGAATATAATGATTGAATTGAAATAATGAAAAGAATTTTGGAGAAGTATAATATTTTTATAATATAATAATGATTTTATTACTTGGTCATCTTTAATTATTATAAAATATGAAGAAATCGATCACTCCGAGTCTTCGACTCGGAGTTATCCATTTCTTCATGTTTTATAGTTATAAAAAAAATTTAATGAACTAAAATTTCATTCATTGTAAAAAATAACACCAAAATTGATTATTTTAATCTTCTTTGGTGTTAATTTAATCTGCAACACTTTTTAATACCTCACGATTTACTGTAGTGGAAACAATATTTAAATACAGAAACAATATTTAAATTCAGAAACAATATTAAAATACAAAATAAAAATTGTGTCCCTAATTCTTTTTTTTTTATTTAATAGATTGTATTATTGTTGATGTTAATGGTCTCATCAACAATTGGCGATAAATTAGAGACGATTGTGCCTGCATACTTCCGCTCGCTGCAAGAGCCAGTTCTTATTAATTTTCCTAAGCGAAATAATCTTACGAGAGGTGCTATGGCCCAGCGATTTTATTTACCACCGGAAGTGCCTAGTGTTTTACGTCCGGAAATCATCGACAACAAATTAAGAAGTTCTTCATGGATTCATTTTCATAAATTATCATCACAACCAAATTTGAATTTACAAACACCATTTCAAATTGATCAGGAGGATAATTTCTATAAATTTGGTAGACCTCAACAAATAACTGATGATTCCAACACTGAATTTGTCAAGGTCAATGAAATGTCCTGCAGAAATTCTGACGATGAAATTTATTTCAGGTAAAAGATGGAATAAAAAATTATAATAAAGTCGAGGTTAAATTTTAGGGACGTATTTATGATTTATTATTATGATTATTATTATTTATTTGGATAAAAAATTAATTGAAAGTAAAATTTGGAATTTTTTTAGAGTGTCCTTGACACCATTGAGGAGGACAGGTCAACCAATAATAGAGAACACTGGTAGCGATAGTTGCGAAATCAAAAATTTACAAAACGAATATAAAATTGATTTGGATGGTAATCAATTTTGGAATTGTGGTGTCACGGAATGTTCGAATGGATCGGATTCGAGTTATTGTCTAAATCTCCGATTCCCTTTGATAACTGGTTTAAAATTGAAGGAGGATTTCAAAATTACTTTGCAGTGCAGAGGTCAAGATAAAATTGTTTCACATGTGAAGAAAATCAGCATTAATTCCTTAGACACGTGAGTTATTTTTCAATTCGTAAACAATTATTTGAATATCTGAATTAAAATGATTTTCTTTTCCTCTTTCTTCAGAACTTCTTCTTTATTAGAAAATCAAATGATTTACTATGATAAATATTATTCAGAAAAATTATTTTTAAAAATTTGTCAATACAATTAATAACTTTTTCAGAACAGGAAAAATGTTACCGAAAATTGAAACAGGTGGATATAAAAGCGATTTCCAGACTGATGTGGCCCTTTATAGAAAGACTTTCAATTCGGAAAATGTTTTCGACACTCGAATTGAATCAGGAGGAACTGTCATTTTAGGCGAAGAAATTTTACTTCGTGTCTTGGTTCGCGAAGGCGATGGTAATAGTAATTTGAAAAATATTAATAAAGTTCAAAAGAAAAATTAATAAAATTATTAATAGGATTTAACATTAAAAAATAAATAATTCAGTGCTCGAACTAGTAAATTAAACTTACTAGTTTATTTAAAATAAACTTCGTAAATTGAACGATTTAATTTGGAGAATTTCAGAGAAATTACAAATGATTGCAGAAATTCAATTATTTTCAAAAGTAATCAAATTCTTCGCAGAAATTCAATTCTGTTCAGAAATTTTTTTTTAATTCTCGTCAAAATTATAAATCATAATTTAATCATAATTAAAAATCATAAAATTCTTCTCTGAAAATCAATTACTTTGAGTCATTTTAAGAAAATTCTTTTCAAAATTCAATTATTTTCATAGATAACAATATTCATCACAAGAATTCAATTATTTTTAAAAGTAATAAATTTTTTCTTGGGAATTCAATTATTTTAAAAAGTTGTAATCAAAATCTTTATCAATAATTCAATTATTTTCATAAATAATAAAATTCTTCTCAGGAATTCAATTATTTATTTTTTTTTATAAATAACTTCGAAATAATTCAATTATTTACAAATTTTTTATAAATTTCTTCCTAACAATTCAATTATTTTCATAAATAATAAAAATTTTCCAAGAATTAAATTATTTACAATTTTTATTATAAATTTCTTGAAAATTATTAATTTAATCGAATTTTTCAAAAATGTAATATTATTCTTAAAAATTTTTTTTAAATGAGTCAAAAAATTCAATTATTTAAAAATTTGTTGGCAAAATTCTTTACGAAAATTCAATTTTAAGAAACATTCAATTATTTAATAAATTATTAATTTTTGTATTTAAATAATTCAATTCTAGTAGAATTTTTTAATAAAAAGTGATTTAAAAATATATTTCAAATCTTTGACAATTTTAATTTTTCATACTTTTAACTAACAATTCTGTAGAAGAATTAATTAAAATTCGTCGAAAAAATTCAATTATCTAAAAATATGTTGATCTAATTCTTTATAAGAATTGAATTTTAAGAAACATTTAAATATTCAATAAATTATTTTTTGTATTTAAATAATTGAATTCTAATAGAATTTTGTAATACAATTTGATTTAAAAGTGAATTTCTATTAAAAACAAATGAATTTAAAAATTTTTTAAAATCTTTTTTAAAAATTATAACAAATAATGGATTTATAGAAATATTTTAACACTAAAATAAATTTAATTTTGGACAAGTTAAAAATTATTGCAGAAATTGCATTGTTTTCAAGAGCAATAAAATTCTTCTCAAAAATCCAATTCTGTTCAGAAATTTTTAAAATTTCTTCTTAGGGATTCAATTATTTTCACTAATAATAAAATTCATCGGTAAATTTCAATTATTTTTAATATAATAAATTTGAATCAAATTTCTCGAAAAATGCAATTATTCTTAAAAATTTTATTAAAAATCATCGAAAGAATTCAATTATTTGAAAAATTGTTTATAAATTTTTTTATGAGAATTGAATTTTAAGAAACATTCAATTATTCAATAAATTATTTATTTTTGTATATTTAAATAATTGAATCCTATTAGAATTTTTTAATAAAAATTGATTAAATTTCACTTCTTCGAAAATTATTAAAAATAATTGATTTAAAGAAGAATTTTAGTCAAAAACTCTAAAAGGAAATTGAATTTTCGAGAAGTTACAAATTATATCAAAAATTCAATTATTTTCAAGAGCAACAAAAATCTTCGTAAAAAATTTAATTATGTTCAAAAATAATAAAATTCTTCTTAGGGATTCAATTATTTTCACAAATTTATGTAAAAAACTCATCGCAGGATTTCAATTATTTTTAATATAATTTTAATCAAATTTCTCGAAAAATGTAATTATTCTTAAAGATTTTATTAAAAATCGTCTAAATAAATCAATTACTTAAAAGTTTGTTGATAAAATTTTTTATGAGAATTGAATTTTAAGAAACATTCAATTATTCAATAAATTATTAAATTTAAATAATTGAATTCTCGTAGAATTTTCTAGTAAAAATTGATTTAAAGAATTTCAGTTAAAATTTTAGTTCAGGGTGGCCACTTTTTTTGTAAAAAAAAATTCACGGTCATTTCCCGGTCATAAATTATTTCATGAAATTTTGAATAATTTGAAAATTTTTCAATTAAATATTAGGTACATATTCAAAAACATAACTATTTTGAAAAAATGTGAATAAAAATATTTTTAAAAACTAACTAATTCAGAATTTTTAATTAAAATCTTTTAAAATTCAACTTTTCTAAAACTTCAATTTGAAATTTTTTAAAATTCAATCTATAATAGTAATATTAATTTAACATTCTAAAATATAGAAAAATTTGCTTATCAATAATTGCAAAAAAAACTAATTGATATTAATGCAAAATACGATTTTTTTAAAATTTATTTTCTAAAAAAAGAAATTTTATTTATTTTTATTTACATTATTTATTATTCAAAAATTAATTTTTATAAATTTCGTATCACTTTTGTTCTATTAGTTCAAATTTTTAATAATTCTTATTTGTTTTGTTATAATATTATTGCAAAAAAATTTTTAAATTGATTTATTTTTCACTATTTTATAGGATGTGAAATTTTTTTCTCATTGAAATTTTTTTGACAAGTTTAATTAAAATTATATTTTGTTTAATTATTGTTAGAAATAGAAAGAATTTAAAATTAAATTTAATATTTTCTTTTTCTAAGTCTGTTACGTTGGACAACAAAATTCATAATTTTCTTATAAATTCTAGAAATTGAATATTTTGATAGTACTTTTTATAAAATTCTCTGACAAAATATAAATAGATTTTAGAGAAGATCGTTCAATCTTTTTTAATGAAATATAGTTAATACCTAAGTCTTGAAATAAATATTTCTATTTTTTCTCACAAAGTAATGTGTGTTTTTAAAAAAAAATCCAAAATCCCGGTCAAGTTCAAAATTCACTGTCATTTCCCGGTTTTTCCCTGTCCAAAAAAATTCACTGTCATTTCCCGGTTTTCCCGGTCCAGCGGCCACCCTGTAGTTTTATTATTAAACACTTTCACTGGTTCGAGTCCTGATAAGATAATTTTTTTTCGTCCCAGGTTGGCAGTACTCGAAAATCAGCGACGTGACAATTTATTTCGTGGAAAGAAGGCAGAGAAGAAAAATAATGAACAGCGTTTCAATTTTAGATACAAATGGTTGTTTGAATCCAGAAATTAGATCAGTATGTTCACGTGAACAATACAGAGTGTCACCTTTGGAGAGTTATTTGCTTTTTAAAGCATTTATGTTTGAAAATATGAAGGAGAACGACGAGATGATAATAAGCGTGAAGGTAATTGGATGTCTGGATGGAGCTGATTGCATTCTAAATTGTCCGGCGGGTCACTTGAGGTCGAAAAGAAATACTCCCAGTCAACGAAATCAAACTATTAAATTTGAGAATGACATTGAATTTAAAGTCATTTTACCAACGACAGAGGAGCACGCGATGGATTTAAGTATCATTATTTACATTCTCTCCGCTTTGATATTAATATCCATTGTTATTTTAATTTATGTTGTTACGGAATTTATCAAACAGAACTATCACAGATCTAATTCATCTAATTTAACGTAACATTTTTATCTTGAATTTAGTTCGATAACTAGAATTAATCTCACGAGAATTAATAATTATTAATTAAATAATAATTATTATTAATTATTAATATTAATAAAACAATATGTTAATATTAATTTTTTTATTATAAATGTTAATTGTTTGAATTTACAAAAATGATTTGATTTCGAATATTTTGATAGATTTTCGATATTTTAATTTTTAATATATCAAAATTTAAATTATCAATGCCCAAAGTATAATTTTTTAGAGAATTTATTAAAATTTTATTTTTTTTAAATTCTGCCAATTTATTTAAACTCGAATTTGCCAACCGTCTAGATCGTAGCAAATTTTAAAACCCACTCCAAATAGCGCCAGAGAAAAGATGAATTTTCTAATACCTGCTTTAGACCATAAGTTTTTAGCTAGACAAAGGGAAGAACAGAAACATAGGTCGTCAAAATAATTAATTCCTTTGTTAAGGCGATAATCATCTGGATCCTTTTGTTTTCTTTTTATAGCTTCATCTGGAATGGGAATAAGTTTTTTATCACTTTGACTTTATAATGAATATTACACTATATTTTCGAAATCTAATTTTTAAATCTATTTTCGAAATCTATTTTTTAAATCTACTTTTTTTAATATACTATTTTCTGAATATAGGTTTTTCGTGACTTTTGTACTATTGCAGGGATCGAACTAGGTCCATAAATTCCATAAAGGTCCGTAAATTTGCTTCAAATCCGGAAAAGTCAGTTTTAAAAAAAATGCCCGTAAAGTTCGAAATTTGATTGAAAAAGGACGAAATGTTCGTAAATTGTACGATATAATTTGGAGAATTTTAGAGAAATTACAAATGATTGCAGAAATTCAATTATTTTCAAAAGTAATAAAATTCTTCCCAGAAATTCAATTCTGTTCAGAAAATTTTAAAAATTGTTGGCAAAATTTCAATTATCTTTAGAAATAATAAAATTCTTCTCCGAAATTCAATTATTTTCAAAAGTTTTAATCAAATTCTTGGCAAAATTTTTAATATTTTCAAAAAATTTTCTCAATCCAATGATTTTCAATATCTACTATTTTAATAAAAAATTCAATTATTTAAAAAAATTTTAATAGTATTTTACGTAAACATTTAAGTATTTTCAGAAAATAATATAAAATTTCACTGGAATTCAATTATTTACAAATTTTTTATAAATATCTTCGCAATAATTCAATTATTTCCATAAATAATAAAATTTTTACAGTGATTCAATTATTTCCATAAATAATAAAACTCATCGCAGAATTTCAATTATTTCGGATACAATTTTAATTTCAATTCTTGTTGAAATTAGATAAATTTTTCAATATGTATATTTAATATTTTTTCCAAAATTTTAACGCAATTCTTAAAAAAGAAATCAATTATCTTGATAAATATCAAAATTCTTACCAGAAATTCAATTGTTTTCGCAAGAATTTTAATAAAATTCTTTGCAAAATTCAATTATTTTCATAAATAACAATATTAATCACGAGAATAAAATTATTTTCAAAAGTAATAAAGTTTTTTTCAGAAATTCAATTATTTTCATAAATAATAAAATTCTTCTCAGGAATTCAATTATTTTTGAAAATTTTAAGAAAATTCTTAGCAACTATTCAATTATTTTCATAAATAATAATATTCATCGCAGAAATTCAATTATTTTTAATACAATTATTTCTTAAAAATAATTATTTTTAATTATTCCTAAATATTTAATTTCAATTCCTCGAAAAAATCAATTATTTAAAAAAAAATTCTTTTTTTCTTTGGAAGAATTTAATTATTTACAAAAATATTGGAATTTTTCAAAGGAATTGAATTATTTTAAACGGTCATTTAAATAAAATTGTTCGAAAGAAATCAATTACTTTAAATACAATTTTAATTATATTTTTTTGAAATAATTCAATTATTCTTTTAGTTTTAAATAAAATTCTTCACAAAAATTCAATTATTTACATAAATAATTCTTCCAAAGAATTCAATTATGTTGATAAATAACAAAATTATTCCCGAAAATTAAATTATTTTGAGGCATTTTTATAAAATTCTTTGGAAAATTCAATTATTTTCATAAATAACAATAATTATCACGAAAATAAAATTACTTTCAAGATTATAATAAAATGCTTTTCAGAAATTCAATTATTTTCATAAATAATAAAAATATCCCAAGAATTCAATTATTTACAAATTTTTTTTATAAATTTCTTCACAATAATTCATTTTTATTCATAAAAAATAAAACTCAATGCAGAATTTCGATTATTTTTAATACAATTTTAATTGAATTTCTCAAAAATGTAATTATTCTTAAAAATTTTATTAAAATTTGTCAAAATAATTCAATTAGTAAATAATTTGTTAATAAAATTCTTTATGAAAATTCAATTTTAAGAAACATTCAATTATTCTATAAATTATTATTTTTTGTATTTCAATTATTTAATTCTAGTAGAATTTTCTAATAAAAATTGATTTAAAAATTAATTTCAGTTAAAATTTTAAATTATTATTGAATATTAAAAGCATTATATATATAGCATGAATTTTTAGAAATAATTTAATTTTTTAATGGTTTTAAATTAAATTCAAATCTTTGACAATTTTTGATACTTTTAACTAATAATTCTGTAGAAGAATTAATTTTTTTGAAAAATTTTATTTGAATTTTACTTCAAATTTTTTTTTTGTAATTTTTATTTTCTAATAATATATTTAATTGAAGAATTTAAGAAGAATAAAAATTTTGTAAAATTGAATTGTAAACAAATAAATTTTAAAAATTCTCAAAGTACTTTTTCAAAAATTATCGAAAATAATGGATTTATTGAAGAATTTTAGTTAAAAACACTATAAAAAGAAATTGAAATTTGGAGAAGTTACAAATTATTGCAGAAATTCAATTATTTTTAAAAGCAATAAAATTCTTCGTACAAATTTAATTATGTTCAAAAATATTAAAATTTTTTTTAGGGATTCAATTATTTTCACATATATAAAAAACTCATCGCAGGATTTCAATTATTTTTAATATAATTTTAATCGTATTTCTCAAAAAATATAATTATTCTTAAAAAATTTCATTAAAACTCGTCGAAGTAAATCAATTATTCAAAAGTTTGTTGATAAAATTTTTTGTGAGAACTGAATTTTAAGAAACATTTAATTATTCAATATATTATTAATTTTTGCGTATATTTAAATAATTGAATTCTCGTAGAATTTTCTAACAAAAATTGATTTTCATTTCATAAAAATGAATTTCAGTTAAAATGTTAGATAATAATTGAATATTAAAAGCAATATAACTTGAATTTTTAGAAATAATTAAATTTTGAAATGAATTTGTTTAAAAAAGTTTAATTGAATTTTTTTTATATTATTTGATGTTTTTATTTTCAAATATGCATTTAATTGAAGAATTTCCGAATAATCGAAATCTTTGGTAAAATTGAATATTGTAAACAAATGGATTTAAAAATTGTCAAAGAACTTTTTCGGAAATTGTTAAAAATAATTGATTTAATGTAGAATTTTAGTTAAGAATTTTTGAAAATAATAATTGAATTGAAATTATGAAAATAATTTTGAAGAAGTTACAGTAACAATATTCTAATAATATAAAATAATGATTTTATCACTGGGCCATCTTTAATTATTATAAAACATGAAGAAATTAATCATTCCGAGTCGAAGACTCGGAATGATCGATATTTTCATGTTTTATAGTTACCAAAAATTTTAATTTTTAGTTTTAAGTAAAGTGTTCTTTTATTTGACTCGGACTGGTTATATTTTTGTCAGTAATTAGTCCGTAAATAGTCTAATTTTTTATTTTTGGTCCGTAATGTCCGTATTTTAAAATACTTTCACTGGTTCGAGCCCTGCTATCGTAATAATAATTAAATGGAAAAAATAAATAGATTTTGACAAAAGAAATTAATACCTTTTGATTTTTTTGAAGAACATTTTGAAGCGCAGTGTTTACGACTCGGCGATGTATAATCCCCCGATTCATCTGATTCGTATTCTTCTCTATTTCTTCTTCGACCTCTTCTTTTTGTTCTCGGTAAATCTTCAACTATTTGAAAACATTGACGCTCATATCTTTCATCTCTTGATTCATCGTTACTTTTTTCATAATCATCACTATCTTCAAAATCATTTCCTGTATTCTTCAAGTTGCTTCTACCTGAACACAAACTTTTTGCTTCTACACTTTTGTAACTTTTTCCTGACTTCGAGCGTGCACTTTTTGACAATGCTTCATCAAGTTCATAATTATATAATTCCTCCTCTATTTATTTAAAAAAAGAAAAATATGTAAATGAATAAAAATTGTATAAATGAATTGAAAATAAAGACAAAATTCAAATCTTATACCTAATTCGGTGGATTTTTCCTGCGATGGTCCAGGTCTTCCTTCGAGTGCTCTTTTTCGCTCTTGGTAAAAATAAATAAATAAATTAATTTTTAATACTTTTTTCTTTGAATATTCGAGAACAATTTTGATTGAAAATAAAAAAATTATTCAAACCAGCAGCTAGTTTCTTTAGATCTCTTTTGACTTTCGAACAAGTTGGAGGGCAACTTGGCATTTTTGGAAATTATTCCCCAGTAGAAAGTACTTTCATTTGTAAATTTAGTCATCGAATTTTTTTTAAATAGAAGTTATTGAATTTCTGGAAATGTTTTTATTTTTTTAAATTAACCTTACTGTCATTTTAAAAGAAAAATAAATAAAAACAATGAAACGTGAATAAAAATAATGAAACTTCAAATGAGTTACAATTAAGAAATTATAATTAATTATTATATTAATATTAATGCTATTATTATTAATATTATATTAATTAATTAATTAATAATTTACTAAAGTTAAACTAAATTAATTTACTGCACTGAGAAAACTGGATATGTCAAACTTATAGAGGGTTAGGTTTTGAGTGTTAAGCCTGATTCTCTGGATAACTTTTCCCTCCGAGCCCTCCGAGTGAGTCAAATTAGGATCATCGGAGTGTCTTTATCCCTCCGAGATTGTTACGAAAAACTTAACCTCAAATATAGTCTGTTTGTCCCTCCAGATATAGTTATAGTTGAATACTCGTTTTCTCCGTGTGAAGTTAAATTAAATTAATTAAAGTAAATAAATTTACTAAAGTACAGTTTATCATTATTGAAAAAATTGAATTAATTCTATGCATTGTCATTTAATTTTATTTGAGCATAAAAATCTGCCTCTCTCTCTCTGTGTGTTTGTTTTTAAATATTCAATCGTCAAATTTAAAATTCAATGAGAATGATGGACTGGAACAAAATACTGTTAAATCTATTTAAATCGCTGAAGAAAACTAAATGTTCCTTATGGGAAAGAATAATTCAGGAGTCATGAAAATAATATATCACTTTACAAGCAATGGTGGGAAGAAAAAGTATCTCAGGAAAATAAAGTAAGTTTACATCGGAACGAACCTGGTGATTACTTGATGAATAACATTTTCCCCAACTAGCGCCAGCTATGGAGAAAAATTCTATTTTTTCACAAATTCTTTCCTCTTCAAAATTGAAAGATTTACACAATATAATAATTTTAATTATTAGATTCTAAAATTATAATAGAATTATAACAATTATATATTGGAATATAATCTAAAAAGATTTAGGATAACCAGAAAAATATTGATATTAATGTAAAAGGATTTAAATTTAAAATCTAAATTTATGGAGATAAAAATAAAATAGAAAAAATAGAAAAACAAAAAAATAATAAAGCACTTTTAAATAAAACAATGTACAATATATTATCCTAATTATCATACATAACATAAATTATTCTTTAACATTTGAATACAACTTTGAGTCATTTCTTCGTTGAAGTGTCATTTTTATTTCAAAGTCTGGAGTTTCACCATCTTCGGCAATTCTGTTTAAAGTGAATTTATTTTTGAAATTGTATTTAATATTCAATTTTGGCTCTGTGATTGGTTTTCCTTGATTTTTCATTTGGCGAAGTAAAAGCTCCTTAACAAGTGGTGGAAATTCCATTGTTTTTGGAAGAATTTTCTCCTTTGCCGGCACTGCAGCTCCTAGAAGATGTTCTTCTTCCTTGGGAATCAATAAATAGTCACTTTTATAACTTGTAGAGTCTAATTGCACGAGACCTTTCGCTTTTACTCCTCGAAATATTTTTTCTGTCAGTGCCATGACTTTACGTGGATTCTAGAAAAAATGATCAATTCCTTTGTAATTTTATTTATTTAATGTGGTTTATGTATTCAGTATTTGTAAAATTGTGTTTTTGTTATGAAAATCCATTGAGGTTAAATTTACAAAGTGCTGTAAGATTTTTGGAAAATAAAAAGAAGAGATAACTTACATCGTGAGGATTTTCCACTTTTGTAGCAGGTAATGTTTCAACTTTCAAAATTTTGTGATATGTGGGTTCGGAATATCGTTCGACAAATCTATTTCTAACCACATATCTACCGACTCCCAAATCTTTTAGATTGCCCAATATTTCCCACAAAGTTTTACCTTTGAAATAGGTCGTTCTTCCAATATATTTTATCGGCATTGTATATTATTTTGCAAAAAGAGTATGACTATGCAGTAGAAGAAATAATAAACTTCTCAAATTTAATAACAATGTTAACAGTTTGTTTGAGGTTATGTTCACTTGTTGTCACTCTGCAAACTTAGTCCCCTGGTGGAAAGTTACTGTCTCTTCAGCCATGCAAGGCGGGCGAACATCGTTCAGGCGCTTGCTACATTATCAGACTTTACAATGAATTTTATTATAATGAAAGAATTTAAATATTTATAAAAATAATTTAATTCTTGCGAAAAATTTTATAAAATTTTTTAAATAATTGAATTCTTTCGACTAATATTAAGCAAATTCTAATTTAAATAATTAAATTCCTGAGAAATTTTTATTACTCATGAAGAAAATTAAATTCTTACGAAGATTTAAAAAAATTTTTTTTTTAAATAATTGAATTCTGTTTTTAAATAATTAAATTTTACAAAGAATCCTATTAAAATTTTTGACAATAATTGAATATCTGTGTGGTATTTTATTAAATTTTTTTGAAAATAATTGAATTCTTAAAAAGCATTTTATTATTTAAAAAAATAATTGAATTTTCGCGAACGATTTTACAAGAATTTTTTAAAAATAATTGAATTTCCAAGAAGAAATTTATTACTTTTAGAAATAATTGAATTCTTGTAATGAATTAGTTATTTATGAAAATAATTGAATTTTGCAAAGAATTTTCTTAAAATACCTCAAAATAATTGAATTTTCGGGAATAATTTTGTTATTTATTGACATAATTGAATTCTATCGAAGAATTATTTATGTACATAATTGAATTCTTGGGAAGAATTTTTCATTAAAATCTAAAAGAATAATTGAATTATTTCAAAAAAATTTAATTAAAATTGTATCTAAAATAATTTATTTGTTTCGAACAATTTTATTCAAATATTTGAAAATAATTAAATTTCTGTGAAAAATTCTTGTGGAAAACTTTATTTGTGAAAATAATTGAATTTTTCGATTAATTAATTTAAAATAGTGTTAAAAATAATTGAAATTGTTCGATGAGTTTTATTGTTTATGAAAATAATTGAATTCTTGCTTAGAATTTTATCAAATATTTTTTTAAAAAAATTGATTTTTAATGAAAATTATTATTATTGGGTGAAAGTAATTGAATTATTATGAAGAATTGTACAAAAATGTTGTTAAATAATTTATTTTTTCTAAGTTTTTTTGAAAATGCTATTCTAAATTAATTGAATTTCTGTGAAAATATTATTTACGAAAATAATTGAATTTTTTTATGAATTTTATCCATTTTTTAAAAATAATTGAATTCTTTTGCGAAATTTTCCGAAAATACTAGATATTGAAAATAATTGAATTTCGAATATTTTTTGAAAATAATTGAATCGTTTTAAAGAATCTGATTATAATTTTTGAGAATAGTTTTTTAATTCCTAGTATTAGCGAATTTAAAGTAGTGGAAATTCTAAAAAAAAAAGCAGAAATAGTAGCTTTTAGTGGCTGAAATCTACAAAAAGTATCCAAATAGTAGGATAACGTAAAAAATGTAGTAAATATTAGGTTTTAATAGATGAGTGCAAAGCCTAAATTATTCAATATTCTTTAATTAATTTTTGATTCGTTTCTTTTATTAATTGGGTATTTTAATTCTATGCTAATTGTAATTCCGTTTTTATGCCAATAGAAGGTTTAAAACTAGTAGAAATAAGACTATATATAATTTTAAATAAATTTATTGGTCCATATATATAATTAAGAAACATTGCAAGGAAAATGCATTACTGAACGTTCCGGTTGACTGAGCAACCGAATCTTTAACATAATTTGTAACTTATACGAAGCAAATTTCAAATACATTAAACATTAACACTATAAACTTAAATGTTTAGCGATCGAAGTACGAAATGCTATTTACATATATTAAAGTGAATCGCTTAAAATAACACAGTATATCACAATAAAAAAATATCATGTATACTTTTTTATAAATAAATAATATAAAACGATGTTCGAAAATACATTATACATAAAATAGATGAAGTTCGATATTCAGAAATGAGAGAAAGTTATTTAAAAAAAAATAAATTAATAAAGAAATTATCAAAAAATCTCAAAGTTTTAATTTTTTAATTTCAAAGTTTCAATTTTCGAATTTCAATTTCTGAGTTTTAATTTTGGAGAAAATATGAAAAATTTCTGTAGAGCAATCGAAGATTTTCTTTGATAATTTCCCTTCATTTTTACGTTTGTTTCGTGAGTATCATGAAATCTGAATATCTGAGTGTGTAAATAGTGTGAAGGGAGTATTTTTTTTTTTTTTGTTTTTTTTTTTCTTAAAACTGATTAACGACTTGATTGATCCAGTCAAGATAGTAGGAGACACGGGAATAAACTCCAGGAACTCCGGCTTGACCGCAACCAATTCCCCATGAAACAACTCCGGACAATTGCCATTTTCCGTGCTTTTCACAAACCATTGGACCGCCACCGTCACCTTTGCAGGCGTCTTTGCCTTCCTCGCCACCGGCGCAGATGAATCCCGGATGCAAATTGAAACTCGGTCCCAGTCTCGTTTTTCTCATTTGATTCTCACAAAGTGGATTGCTAATCACCGGCACGTCCACTTCCTTCAGGATATTTTGGTATTTTCCAAAATCGCCGAAAGCATCCTTGCCCCATCCAGTGGTCCAGCACCTATTTTTTTTCGCAAAAAAATCAACAAATTTTAATAACTAAAAATAAATCTCCAATTAAGCAACCAACTCAACGTATTTAAAAAAAAACGTATATTTAAAAACATTAAATCAGGGTGGCCACCAAAACTCGTGAATAAAATTCACGTCTATTTCCCGGTTTTTTCAAGGTTTCTAGGAAATTTTCAAGGTTTTTTTGTTGGTTCAAATTTTACTTTAGTAATACTTAAAAAAATAAAGAATACTACTTCTACTACTACTAACTTAAAAAATTCAACTATCTCCACATTTTTAATTATTTTTTATTGCCGAATTTTTTTAGGCTTTTCTTACGATTCTGAACAATCAATCGAATAGATTTTAAAAAATTCTGGGTTGCCACAAATATTTAATTTTATTTTCCCTGACTTTTCCCTGATTTCCAGACAAAATTTTCACTTTTACCCTGACCATAAAGAATATTCTGATTCACTCTAAAAATTATTAGATACTCAAAAAAAAACATTCTATTACATTTACTTGCGAATTTCTTAAATTGTAAAATTATTCGCAAACATCAATAACTAAATTTTTAAATAAGTATTTAATTATTATTTTTCCATAGGAATTAAAATTCTTCAAAACATTCAAATTCAAACATTTTTAAAATTCAACAACTTATAAGAATATTTTTATAAAACATGAAGATAGCGATTGCTCCGAGTCGAAGACTCGGAGTGATCGATTTCTTCATGTTTTATAAAAATTTTAATTTCCATAAAATTTTTCAAAAAAAAAAATTCAATTATTTACAAAAATTATAATAAAATTCGTTGCAAGAATTCAATTATTTTCATAAATAATAAAATTCTTCACATGGTTTCAATTATTTTTAATACAATTTTAAATAAATTTCTCGAAAAATTAAATTATCTTCAAAAATTTTTTGCAAAAATTAAATTAGGTACATTTTACAAATAATGAAATTCTTCGCTGAAATTCAAAAATTTTCAAAATTTACATTTTTAATACAAGTTTTCAAAAGAATATAATTATTTAAATAAAATGTAATAAAATTAGTTGCATAAATTCAATTATTTTTAAAAGAAATAAAATTTTTCACATGAATTCAATCATTTAAAAAAAATTAATAAAATTCGTTATAAGAATTCCAGTATTTTTATAAATTAAAAAATTTCTCTGAGTATTTCAATTATTTATAATACAATTTAAAGTAAATTACAAGAAAAATGGATTTATTCTCTTTTTTGTAAGAATTTAATTACATTTCACGAATATAATGAGATTCTTCATTGAAATTCAAATATTTTCACAATCTACTTTTTTAATAAAAGTTCTAAAAAGAATTCAATTATTTAAAAAAATGTAATAAAATTCGATGCAGGAATTCAATTATTTTTATAAATAATAAGATTCTTTACATTATTTCAATTATTTAAAAAAAAAATTTGAAAAAATTCATTGCAAAAATTCAATTATTTTTATAAATAATAAAATTCTTCACAGGATTTCAATTATTTTTAATACAATTTTAAGTAAATTCTTCGAAAAATGTCTCTATTTTCAAAAATTTTGTTAAAATTCTTCGAAAGAATTCAATTATGTATTTCTAAAAATTGATGCTATAATGCTTTTAATATTCAATTATTATCTAAAATTTTAACTAATATTCATTTTCAAATCAATTTTTCTTAGAAAATTCTACAAGAATTCAATTATTTAAATACGAAAATAAATAATTTATTGAATAAATGAATGCTTTTCGAAACTAAATTATCATAAAGAATTTTATCAACAAATTTGATTTTTTTCAAAAAATTTTAATAAAATTTTCAAGAATAATTAAATTTTTCGTGGAATTCAATTAAAATTGTATTATAAAATTAAAAATAATTGAAATTCTACGATGAATTTTATTATTCATGAAAATAATTGAATTTTTGTAAAAAAATGTTATTATTTATGAAAATAATTGAATTATTGCGAAGTTTGCTTAGAATTTTATCAAAAATTTTTTTTTTTGAAATAATTGAATTCTTTTGAAAAATTTTATTAAAACTGTAGATATTGAAAATCATTGAATTGAGAAAATTTTTTTGAAAATAATTGAAATTTTGCAAAGAATTTTATTAAAATTTTTGAAAATAATTGAAATTTGGAGAAGAATTTTATTATTTTTAAAGATAATTGAATTTTTATGAGAATTTTTTTAATTTTTGAACATAATTGAATTTCTGCGAAGAATTTTATTACTTTTGAAAATAATTGAATTTCTGCAATCATTTGTAACTTCTCCAAAATTCAATTTTTTTCAGTTACTTAAATAAAAATCCCTGACTTTTCCCTGATTTCCCTGACCTGTGGCAACCCTGAAAAATTTTAATTTTTTCAAAAAATAAAATTTTGAAAATGGTCAAAAAATTTTTTTTTCAGTTTTAATAATATATAGTACTAAAATTAAAGGTTTTTAAAAAAATTCACGTCCAATTCACGGTTTTTTCAAGGTTTGACGAAATTCACGTCCATTTCAAGGTTTTAAGGTCCGGTGGCCAAAAAAATAAATAATAATAAATAAATAAATAAATAAATAAATAAAATAATCGTTAATTTAACGATTATTTTCATCAGAAAGCGTTATTATTATTATTATTATTATTATTATTATTATTATTATTATTATTATTATTATTATTATTATTATTAAGATTGAATAATATTCATAATTACTAACCGATTGCCAGTGAAGTCTTCGTATTTCTCTGGAAGACACGCTGGACTAATGTGAGGATTTTTTTCAAAATTGATATCGTGATCGAGTTTCAAAATTGCCAGATCATTGTAGAGTGTTCCAGCGTAAAATTCCGGATGAACGTAAACACTAACGACGTCCCTTTCAATGTAGGGGAAGAATTCAACATCGTGATTTACATCCCATTCGCCTAGACGTGCACGAAGATCTCGTCCAGCGTGAGTCTTAACACAATGAGCCGCTGTCAAAATATGTCGAGATGAAATTAAAGTTCCTCCGCAGACGTAGACGCTCTCAGATGGATCCTTCTTCAAAATTGCCACTTGCCATGGATATTCACCTGTAAAGTAAAAATACTTTTAGTATAATTCAATTATTTTCTAAAATAATAAAATTTTTACAAGGTCTCAATTATTATCTTAAATAATAAAATTCTTCCTAGGAATTCAATTGAGATCCATTCAAGAATATTATCATTATGTGAAGAAAAAATTACCGAATTCCGAGTCTCCATCAACAAAAACGGGATTCTTGATGCGACCGTTGATCCCTTGACTGTTTCTCACTCCGCATTGACCGAGTTTTCCAGAAGGACGGCCAATGATGTTTGCCCGCCGGCAGCACACCTGACGTGGTCCACATGCCGGTGGTCTTCCAAATTGTCTCTGTTCCAAACAAAGGTAAGTCACATTCATTAGATTTCTTTTTTGTGTAAACAAAAAATATGAATAATTATAGTATGAAAAGTATACTAAAAATTTGAGAACTTGAGGAAAAGTTCCATTTTAATTCTGGAATAAATTCTATTTGCAGGTATTAGTGATCGATGATGACAGGAAATGTTAAATTGTGTTCGGAGTGCAATTGAGGATGACACAAATGTTGATAGTCCAGCGTGAACAATATGGAAATTTCCCGAGAAGAGAAAGGTGCGTCTACGTTTTTTTGTGATAATAGAAATGATAAATCGATCTCCTTGAAAAAACAGAAATGAACTTCGTTTTTTATGGTGTCCAGCGATTTTTGTCCAGAATGGTTCTTACCTCCTCGACGTCCCTCCTTCTTCTCGATGGAAAAGCAACTTTCCCACCCTGATTGTTACGATTTTCTCGGCTATAATTATTAGAATCATATTCATCAAAACCTCTACTGCTCTCAATAGAATCATTCGTCCTAGCGTTTCGATAGTAACCATCATAGTCACCATAGTCACCAAAATTATTACCCTCATCATAATCGTCACCCCTGTAATAACCTGAATGTCCATAATTCCCATAATTTCCATAATTCCCAGAATTTCCATAATTTCCATAATTCCCATAATTTCCCTGTGGCCTTTGAGGATGATAAAAGTGATGATGATTATGATAATTCTGCTGTGGACGTTCATAGTGAGGGGGACGATTGTATTGCTCCCAAGGACCATAGCCAGACGATGGTCCATGGTGATTGTAATTTGGTGCATAATTGCCACTGTGCAACAAGTGCTTCTTTTGCGACAGGAAATTAGTAAACTTATTGACCAATCCATGATTAGGCGTCACATGAAGATTCACAAATGGCTTAACCACCTTCTCACCATAGTCGTCCTTCGTTACCTGAACCGACACCAATGGATTTACTGAAACCAGACCCAGATTGATGCCCTGAGTTCCGGAACCGTAGCCAGGATATGGATTTGTCAATGGATTCCCACCATAGGAATTGATTGGATAGCCACCACTACCACCACCACCGGATTGAGGTAGACCAAAACTCACGCCCCACGTTGGCTTCAGATTCAATTTTGACTTGTCCAGATTACCGCCTATTAAACGCTGTAAATAGAGCCAAAAGAGTGCCACGTCGTAGATAAACAGAGGTCCTATTTCATTTCTTTGTTAGAGCACACGTTGGTTAGCCAAAGGTTTTGAATTCGAATTTTTGTTCAACATACTGTCTAGTGCAATCAGTGGCCAGATAACTAGGTCGTCTATGAAACAAATCAACTGATCTGGAAATCAATTTGATCTAGAAAACAGGGCTCGAATCAGTGAAAATATTTAAAATTGCGGACTTTACGGAGCAAAAAATGAAAAATTACGGATTACTAACAAAAATATAACCATTTTACATTTTACATTTTACCAAAATATAACCATTTTACTTAAAACTATAAATACCATTTTTTCATAACTGTAAAACATGAATATATCAATCATTCCGAATCTTCGACTCGGAATGATTAATTTCTTCATGTTTTATAATAATTACAGATGGCCCAGTGGTAAAATTATTACTTTATATTATTAGAATATTGTTACTGTAACTTCTTTAAAATTATTCCCATCATTTCAATTTAATTATTATTTTTAAGAATTCTTAACTGAAAATCTACTTTAAATCAATTATTTTTAATAATTAATAATTTTCGAAAAAGTTCTTTGGCAATTCTCAAATCCATTCGTTCATAATATTCAATTTTACAAAATTTCAGTTATTCCTAAATTCTTCAATTCAATGCATATTAGAAAATAAAAGCTTCTAATAATATAAAAAAATTGAATTAAACTTCTTTAATAAAATTCATTTCAAAATTCAATTATTTCTAAAAATTCAAGCTACATTGCTTTTCATATTCAATTATTATGTAAAATTTTAACTGAAATTCATTTTTATAAAATGAAAATCAGTTTTTATTAGAAAATTCTACTAGAATTCAATTATTTAAATACAAAAATAATTTATTAAATAATTGAATATTTCTCAAAATTTGAATTCTCATAAAGAATTTTATCAACAAAATTTTAAATAATTGAATTCTTTCCACGAATTTTAATAACATTTTTAAGAATAATCACATTTTTCAAGAAATTTGATTAAAATTATATTAAAAATAATTGAAATTCTGCGATGAATTTTATTATTTGTGAAAATAATTGAATCCTTAAGACGAATTTTTAAAAAATTCTTAACAGAATTGAATTTCTGAGAAGAATTTTATTGCTCTTGAAAATAATTGAATTTTTGCAATAATTTGTAACTTCTCCAAAATTCAATTTTTTTTTAGTATTTTTCACTAAAAATCTTCTATACTTTTAATATTTAATTATTATCTAGAATTTTAACTAAAATTCATTTTTTAAATTAATTTTTATGAGAAAATTCTTTTGACTGATTTTAATAAAATTTTTAAGAATAATTACATTTTTGAGAAATTCGATTAAAATTGTATTAAAAATAATAGAAATTCTGTAATGAGTTTTATTATTTATGAAAATAATGGAATTATTGTGACGAAATTTATAAAAAAAAATGTAAATAATTGAATTCTTAGGAAATTTTTATTACTTATGAAAATAATTGAATTATTGCAAAGAAATTTATAAAAAATTTGTACTTAATTGAATTACTGCTAAAATATTTATAAAAAATTTGTAAATAATTAAATTCGTGTGAAATTTTGATTATTTAGGAAAATAATAATTAAATTAAATGAAAATTTCATTAAAAATAATTGAAATTTCGCAATGAGTTTTATTATGTATTTATAAAAATATATTTATAATTGAAAAAAAAATTAAATTAAACTTTTTTAAAAAAATTCATTTCAAAATTCAATTATTTCTAAAAATTCAAGCTATGTTGCTTCTAATATAAATCAATTTTTATTATAAAATTCTACGATAATTTTGACGAATTTTAATAAAATTTTAAAGAATAATTACTTTTTTCGAGAAATTCGATTAAAATTGTATTAAAAATAATCGAAATTCTGCGATGAATTTTTTTTATTTGTAAAAATAATTGAATTCTTAAGAAGAATTTTGATACTTTTAAAAATAATTGAATTTTTGCAATAATGTGTAACTTCTCCAAAATTAAATTTTTTTCTATTTTTTTTAACTAAAATTCTCCTATAAATCCATTAATTTTAATAATTTTTGAAAAAGTTCTTTGAGAATTTTTAAATCCATTTGTTTAAAATTCAATTTTAGGAAATTGCGATTATTCGGAAATTCTTCATTTAAATATTTAGAAAATTAAAACTTGAAATAAATTTTCAAAAAATTCAATTAAACTATTTCAAAAGAATTAATTCTACAGAATTGTTAGTTAAAAATATGAAAAATTCAGATTTTCAAAGATTTTAATTTGAAACCTTTTCAAAATTCAATTATTTCTCAAAATTCACCCTATAATGCCTTTAATATTCAATTATATTCTAAAATTTTAACTGAAATTTATTTTGAACACAATTTTTATTAATAAATTCAAGGAGAATTCAATTATTTAAATAAAAAATGAATAACTTATTAATTTAATGTTTCTTAAAATTAAATTCTTATGGAAAATATTATCAACAAATTTTTTAAATAATTAAATTCTTTGGACGAATTTTAATGAAATTTTTTTAGAATAATTACATTTTTCGAGAAATTTGATTTAAATTGTATTAAAAATAATTGAAATTCATAGCATTGAGTTTTATTATTTACGAAAATGATTGAATTCCTGTAAAAATCTTATTATTTTAGAAAATAATTGAATTATTGCGAAGAAATTTATAAAAAAAATTTGTAAATAATTGAATTTCTGTAAAAATTTTCATTATTTATGAAAATAATTGAATGTTTGCGTAAAATTTTATTCAAAATGTTTTTTTAATAATGGTATTCTTTTGGAAAATTTTATTTAAATAGTAGATATTGAAAATCATTGAATTGTGGAAATTTTTTTAAATAATTGAAATTTTGCCAAGAATTTGATTAAAATTTTAGAAAATAATTGAGTTTCAGAGAAGAATTTTATTATTTCTAAAAATAATTGAAATTTTGACTAGAATTTTTAAAAATTTCTGAATAGAATTGAATTTTTGTGAAGAATTTTATTACTTTTGAAAATAATTGAATTTCTGCAATCATTTCTGACTTTTTTAAAATTTCCAAAATTATATAGTAGAATTTACGAACTTTTTGTCCTTTTTTAGTCAAATTACGGACTTTTTCTCAAAAAACTAACTTTTACGGACTCGAAGTAAATTTACGGACCTTTAAGGGATTTATGGGACCTAGTTCGAGCCCTGAGAAAATAGTCAAACCTTCTCATCCAGCAACTTGACGACAGTCACTATATTCTACTACACAAAAATGGAATGATGCCTGAAAACTAATACGATGAGATCCTACATTTTGTAGATCACAGCTACCATACCATTTACTTATGGTCTCGATGAGTTTTCGGATTTGAGATTAATTTTAGATTACTTGGTGAATTAATGGTTAATAATTTGGTTAATAAATGATTTTTGTCTACGATTGAGGACAAAAACATTTTGTCTCTCATATTGGTGCTTGATGTGGACTATCTTTGTGTTATGTGACAATAGATGATGTGGACTATTATTAACAAAGCGTATTGAGTGAAAAAGTCGAAACAAATGTGGAACTTACACTTTGGGCGTCAGAAGACTTGTCACTAATAGCGTCGACTTGTTTAGTGTCCCTCTTGGTCCTCTCTTTGTCCTTACTTTCCTTATTTTCTTCCTTCAGTGTTTTTGTCTCCTCGGCCTGTTCGGTTGCATTGACTCCTTTCGCGATTCGAACAGCACTTGTACTATTGCCCTCAATGTCGAAAATTGTTTCGGCTTCGATATTCTTTCCAAGACTACGAGGATCGATGGCCAGGTAGAGGTCGTCCTTCCTTCCCGCTTGATTTAGAGTCGAGCACTGATCGAATGGAACGCAAACGCAATTGTCGTAATTATTCGATCCGAATCCAACGTCATAATTGTTGCCTGACTCGAAATTGTTCGAACCAAATCCGTTTGATCCAAAACCGTTCGAGCCCAATCCGCTTGCTCCGAGTCCGTTTGCACCCAATCCGTTAGCGCCAAAACCATTTGATCCTAATCCGTTCGAACCGAGACCGTTCGATCCCAATCCGTTCGAACCGAGACCGTTGGATCCAAAACCGTTCGAACCAAGACCATTGGCTCCCAAATTTTGCACTCCTAAGCCATTACCACCGAAAGACGCAGCTCCGAAATTATTAGCATTACCAAAACCAGAATTAACAACCTTTGTGGACTCGAAATTTTTCTGTCCATCATGCAACGAATTAGGCTTTGGCCTCTCATAAACAGGATACCTATCGGCGTAATTATTGGAAGCAGAACCAAGAAGATTGTTTCCTGACGATTGTCCCTTGGTGTTGAATGTCTTCTTGTAGTCCTCGAAGTTGTTAAATTGGTTTCCATAAGTGCCAGTGTTTCCGTAGCCATAAGCATTTCCCGTGGTGACGCCGGCCGTGCCTCCGAGGATAATTGGCCCCTTATCGGCCACACCATCGCCATGGACATAATGATGATGAACGTGCTGTTGAACACCGGCGCCTTGCGAGACGACAACTTGTTTCTTGTCAATGAACTTGTCCTCGTAGTCAATTTCACTGTCGAGACCAGCCTCGTAAACTGGTTTTGGTCCGCCGAGAAAACCTGGTTTTTTGTATGCTGGATATGGACCGACGAATGGTGTTGGTGGACGAGGTCCGAAACCAGGTTTCGAGTAAATTGGTCCAATTGGCGCTGAGCCGAGACCTGGTGCAAAGGGTCCTGGCTTTGGTGGTCCATAGGGTCTTTTCACTGGAATTGCGGGCAGTGGATGACCTACTGGTTTTATTGTCACCGGTTGGGCGTAGATTACCTCCTGGGGATGAATATCGCGATGGGGTGAGTAGTAGGGTCGTCTTCCTTCAACATCGTCACACTGGAACGTAACATTAGTTTATTGTTACACAATTAAAAAATGTATAATGTAAAATTCACACAAACATAATTTTAAAATTCTTAAATCTTTACTTTAAACAAAAATTACATCTAAACTAAAAACTTCTAAATCCAAACAACCGAAACATCATAAAATATAATCTTAAAATGATTTTATGATTTCAAATATACAAGAGTAATAATTTTATGCTTTTACAGACAAATTTGCGAATTGTCGACTTACCCTCATCAGACCGAGGGAACAGAGTTTGTCACGAATGTAAGATCTGGCCATTGAATCGTTTCCCTGTTGGAGGGCATTTTTCACATTTGGATCTGAGTAGACTTCGTCGTAACCGTCAAGATTTCTTCCTTGGCGATTGGAGGTGAGAATATCTTCGACTACGGCTTCAACATGTTGGGTACCCTAAGGTAATTCATTTTATTTATTAAAATAATTATTTATTAAACTCTATTTCTTTTAATGATCAATCTTTATTGATCTATTTATAAATCTATTTTTTTACTTATACAAGGTTGTCACAAATATTTATAATATTGTTTTCCCTTGATTTCCAGACAAAATTTTGACTTTTTCCCTCTGACCCTAAAGAATATTCTGATTCACTCTAAAAATTATTAGATACTCAAAAAAATTTTCTATTACATTTAATTACAAAATTTCAATTCAAAAGTAAAATTATTCGTAAACATCAGTAACTTTATTTTTAAAAAAATATTTAATCATTATTAATTTTCCGTAGGAATTAAAATTCTTCAAAATATTCAAATTCAAACCTTTTGAAATTAACAACTTAACAAAATTTTATTGTAAAACATGAAGAAATGGATGACTCCGAGTCGAAGACTCAGAGTCATCGATTTCTTCATGTTTTATAATAATTGAAATTACCATAAAATTATTCAAAAAAAATTTAATTATTTACAAAAATCCTTCGCAAAAATTCGATGATTTTTACAAGTAGTAAAATTTCCTGAAAGGAATTCAATTATTTAAAAAAATGTAATAAAATTCGTTGCAAGAATTCAATTATTTTCATAAATAATAAATCGATTATTTGGAAATTCATTTTTTCAATCAATTTTTATTAGAAAATTCTATGAAAATTCATTTTTTTAAATTCAAAAATAAATAATTTATTGAATAATTAAATGTTTGTTAAAATTAAATTCTCATGTAAAGAATTTTATCGACAAATTTTTAAATAATTGAATTCTATTGACGAATTTTAATAAAATTTTTAAGAATAATTTTATATTTTTCAAGGAATTCGATTAAAATTGTATCAAAAATAATAAAAATTCTGCGATGAGTTGTATTTTTTATGAAAATAATTAAATTCCTGAGATCTGTTTTATTATTTATGAAAATAATTGAATTGTATTTTTTATGAAAATAATTAAATTCCTCAGATCTGTTTTATTATTTATAAAAATAATTGAAATTTATAAAAAAATATGTAAATAATTGAAATCCTGGGAAAATTTTTATTATTTTATGGAAATAATTTGAAGACTTGAATTCTAATGGAAAATATTATTAAAATAGTTGATAATGAAAATCATTGAATTAAGGAAAATTCCTGAAAATAATTGAAATTTTGCCAATAATTTTATTAAAATCGTTAAAAATATTTGAATTTCGGAGAAGGATTTTATTATTTCTAAAGATAATTGAATTTTTGACGAGAATTTAAAAAAATTTCTGAACAGAATTGAATTTCTGAAGATTATTTCTTAGGATAATTGAAATTTTGACGAGAATTTAAAAAAAAATTCCTTAACAGAACTGAATTTCTAAAAATAATTTTATTCTCGTGATTAAGGGCATTTGAAACTTGATGACGTCACACATGCTTTGCACAAACTGAAACGTCATCAAGGTTCAAATGCCCTTAATATTGTTATTTATGAAAATAATTGAATTTTGCAAAGAATTTTATTAAAATGCCTCAAAATAATTGAATTTTCGGGAAGAATTTTGTTATTTATCGACATAATTGAATTTTTTCGAAGAATTATTTATGTAAATAACTGAGTTCTTGGGAAGAATTTTATTAAAATCTAAAAGAATAATTGAATTTAATTCAAAAAAATTTTATTCAAATTGTATTTAAAATAATTGATTTCTTTCGAAAAATTTTATTAAAATATTTGAAAATAATTGAATTCCTGTGAAAAATTCTAATATTTTTGTAAATAATCGAATTCTTCCAAAGAATTTTAGAAAAACATTTTTTTAAATAATTGATTTTTTCCAGGAATTGAAATTAAATTTTGAAAATAATTACATTCTTTGTGCAATTTCTCTAAAATTGTATTAAAAATAATTGAAATCCTGCGATGAATTCTATTATTTATGAAAATAGTTGAATAATGCTAAGAATTTTATTAAAACTTTCAAAAATAATTGAATTCTTGAGAAAAATTTTATTATTTACGAAAATAATTTAATTATTGCAAGCGATTTTATTAGAATTATTTAAAATAATTGAATTTCCAAGAAAAAATTGATTACTTTTAAAAATAATTGAATTTTTATGAAGAATTTTATTAAAATCCAGAAGAATAATTAAATTATTTTTAAAAAAATTTAATTAAAATTGTATTTAAAATAATTTATTTCATTCGAACAATTTTATTAAAATTTTTGAAAATAATTGAATTCCTGTGAAAAATTCTAATATTTTTGTAAATAATTTAATTCTTCGAAAGAATTTTAAAAATACTTTTTTTTAAATAATTGATTTTTTCGAGGATTTGAAATTAAATTTTGAAGAATAATTTTATTCTTTGTGTAATTTCTCTAAAATTGTATTAAAAATAATTGAAATCCTGCGATGAATTCTATTATTTACGAAAATAATTGAATAGTTGCTAAGAATTTTATTAAAATCTTCAAAAATAATTGAATTCCTGTGAAGAATTTTATTATTTATGAAAATAATTTAATTCCTGAGAACAGTTTTATTATTTATACAAAATAATTGAATTATTGCCCAGAAATTTACAAAAAAATTTGTAAATAATTGAAATCCTGATAAATGTTTATAATTCATGAAAATAATTAAATGTTTTCGTAGAATTTTATTAAGATTTTTCTTTAAGTAATTTAATTCTTTTGGAAATTTTGATTAAAATAGTAGATATTGAAAATCATTGAATTGAGGAAAATTTTTGAAAATAATTAAAATTTCCCCAAGAATTTTATTAAAAATTCTTGGAAATAATTGAATTTCGGAGAAGAATTTTATTATTTATAAAAATTTTATTAAAAAAAATCTTTTTTATAGAAAGATTATTTTCTGAAATAGAAAAAAATTGAAGGTTTTAAAATTAAAGACAAAATCACAGGAATAAACCTTTTTAATTTCCGTATTTTTTTCTTTAAATATTTAACAAGGAAATATTATTATTTTTTTTTTTGAGTAGTGTTCTTACCAATTGTTGAGAGGAAGCCGAAGCGTCATTAGGATTACTGGAACCGACTTCGTAGACTTGATGTTGCTCTTGTTCCACCTGAAATGATGGTACAGCATCAGAGGCTGAGAAACTGACTGGATGAAACGAATCTTCTTGATTTGAAGGAGCAGCAGCCTGATCTTCTTGCCAGGACCATTGTTGTTCGTTGGATGACGATGAAGACGTGTGTCCCGAAGACAAGGTTTGATAATTTACTTGCGTGGCTAGACCTTGACCAATAAGGCCCACCAGAAAGATGAACCACATTTCTATTCTGAAAAAATTCAAAAACAAAATTATTTTTTTTTTTTTGTTATTATTCGTTCTTTTGAAGTTTAATTTATTTTTTTAGAACTTGATTCAATCTTTTCTGATTTAATTCATTTTTTAGAACTTTATTCAATCTTTTCGAATTTCAATTTTTTTAAATTAATATAATTTGATAATTAATTATAATTCAGTTGTTAATTGTAATTCAATAGTTAATTATAATTCAATAGTTAATTATAATTCAATAGTTAATAATAATTCAATAATTATTTATAATTTACTAATGAAATAATAATATTAATTATATATTATTATAATTATAATAATATTGAATATAATTCAATAATTATAATTAATTTATTATTTATAATTTAATAAATAAATTATAATTAAATAATTAATAAAAATTCAATAGTTAATTGTAATTCAATAATTAAAATGAAGAGATTGAATAAAAATTTAGAAATTCAATGGAAGTGTTTGTTTACAACTCTTATATAATAACGAATAGATTTGTAATTCATAAAAAGTGGATTTTAAATCATTTTTTCACCAAAACTGACAACGTGAAATTAAATTTATTTTCAGACATTACGAAATGAAAGGCTTTCCGTCTTGGCACTTTCTTTTTGTATTTTGATGTCTTTCAATACATCGTGTAGAACATGTTCAGTGATGGAGTTTTCACTTTAAAAGCATGAGAAATCTGACGCAAAAAAAAGGTAAGTTTCATTATTTTTAACACAATATTGTACTTTAGAGAAGAAAAAAGACACTCATTGTCTTTATTTAAAAATGATTTTTGTAAAAATTATTTAAAAAAAAAATAATTTTCGTAAAAGTTATTTTTATAAAAATTATAAAGAAAAAATATTAATTGAACTATGAATTGAATTATTAATTGAATTACAATTTGGATTATAAATTGGATTATAATTTGTGAGAAATTGTCCATTAGATTGTAAAATTGTTATTGGAAAAGAAAAATTGAAAAAAAAATTCTTTCACTTATTGAGAAATATGATAATTTTCGTTTTAGTTATTAAATTTGTTTTTATAATTAGAATACACGTAATTTAAGTAAAATTATCGATTGATCTTAAGATTGATGATTAGCATAAGTTATATATACCTTCCTTTTATAGGAATCAACGAAAGTGAGAACAAGTTCAGGTGAAAGTCGTTTGACGCGTTTCTTTATATTATAAGCACGCTTTTGCTATATTTTAGTAAAAGTAAACAGTTGGTTTTTGAAGATGCTCCCAAGGATGTAGTTATTTTTTTCAAATATTACGTATATTTTTAAAAAAATTTTCCATTATATTTGTTACTAATTTGACAAAAATAACGCAAAAAAAAATGCAAAAAAGACAATAGAAATAATATTAAATCAATTTTTTAATAACTTTTCAATATTTTTTGTTCAATAATTTTTCAATAACTATTTCTTTTCTTTTAATAATTTCCAATGACAATAGTTTTCTTACAATAATTTTTTAGCAACAATCTTATTTTTCAATAATTTTTCAATAATATAAATAATATTTTTTGTTCAACAATTTTTTAATAACAATATTTTTTTGTTGAATAATTTTTCAATAACTATTTCTTTTCTTTTAATAATTTCCAATGACAGTATTTTTCGATCAATAATTTTCTAGTAACGATCTTATTTTTCAATAATTTTTGAATAATATTTCAATAATATAAATACTATTTTTTGTTAAACAATTTTTTAATAACAATATTTTTTTGTTGAATAATTTTTCAATAACTATTTTTTTTCTTTTAAATAACTATTTCTTTTCTTTTAATAATTTTCAATGACAATATTTTTCTTACAATAATTTTCTAGCAACAATCTTATTTTTCAATAATTATTCAATAATATAAATAATATTTTTTGTTCAAAAATTTTTTTAAAACAATATTTTTGTGTTGAATAATTTTTCAATAACTATTTCTGTCTTTGCAATGAGTCTCCAATATTTTTGTTCAATAATTTTTCAATATTGTTAATGAAAAATTATTGATTAATAATTATTTTTCAATAACAATATTTTTTTCAATAATTTTCCAATAACAATTTTTTTTAAAATAATTTTTCAAATAATAATCCAAGAGTTCAATTAAATTTTTCATAGATTAGTTGAAAATTTTACAGATCGAAAAGTAAAAAAAAAAAAAAAATGGTGTTAGTTGAATTATTTAATTTCCGATTAATTTTTCACTTTTGTCTTTTAGAGAGAAAGAGTAGAGATTGAAAATTGAATTTCTTTAATTGAATAATTATTATAATATAGGCTAATGGTGTCAGTGATTGTGAGCGTTCGTTCATCTTCAATTATCTTATTCAACTGGAAATTAAAACTTGTGCAAAATCCATTTCATTAAAATGACAATGAGAGACAGTTTGGATTACATAAGATTCTGATGTGATTGTCAGTTTAAATATCGTCACTCAACCATTATTAATTAGTGCACCCGAATGCAAATTAATAACAATAGAAATTTAATGAAAGGAAAAATAAATTTTCGTTCTTCAATCTCATTTTCATTTGATTCATAATTTTTATAACAATTATTTTTCAAATTATTTTTCAAATTACTTTTCAAAATTACTTTTCAAAATATTTTCAAAATTATTTTTCAAATTACTTTTCAGATTATTTAATTTTATGACCAAATTTATAAATTTTATAGTAAATTAATTTCTTCTGTGGGTTCTTTGTTTAAAAATTGAGCAAATCTCTTTTTTCATTTGATTCATAATTTTTATAACAATTATTTTTCAATTAAATAAAAGGAAAATTTATTTTAACTTCTTTTTAAATTTATACATTTTTTGACAAAATTTATAAATTTTAAAGTAAATTAATTTCTTCTGCGGGTTTTTTGTTCATAAAATTGAATTAATCTCCATTTTCAGTTGATTCATAATTTTTATAACAATTATTTTTCGAATAACAAAGGAAAGAAAAAATTTATTTCAATTGTTAAATTTATAAATTTTTTAACCAGTATTTTTCAATTTAATGAAAGGAAAATTTATTTCAATTTCTTGTAAAAGAAATTGAAATTTATAAATTTTATGATAAAATAAACAAGTTTTATAACAAATTAATTTTCTTTTACTTATAAAATTGAGTTAATCTCTTTTTTATTTGATTCATAATTTTAATAACAATTAATTTCTCATATTTTTCAATTAAATTAAAGAAATTTTTCTTTCATTTAATTGAAAAAGTAATTCAGTTTTTAAAATATTTAGATTAATTTTTTAATAAATTAATTTCTTTTGTAGATTTTTTTTTTATAAAATTGAGCAAATATGGAAATGTGAATATACAATGTAGCGAAAGTAGTATATAAAAAATTGACGGAAAATAAAATTGAGTTGAAAATTAATTAAGTAGGGAATATTTATAAATTTGTACTTAATTAACTTAACGAATTCGGGAAATTCTCGAATTAGTTGATAAATGGATGACACGTTCATTAGTAGCAAATTCGACATTAACATAGAATAAGGTACTTAGTTGTTCAATTGAAGTAGAGAAAGTCTTGTCACGCCATTGAACCGCAAAACTGCGTGAGTACAACGTTTTGCGAATAATTTCTTTTTTCGGATAACGATCAACAAAACAAAATTCTTTTCTTTGTATAAAAAAAAAATAACTGACTTTTTTTACTTTTTAAAAAATTTTTTCATAATTGACTTTTTCGTAGTGTTTAAAGTTCTTTTTATTTTTTATTTATTACTTTTCCTTTTTTTTTTCTTTACTTTAATTTTTCTTCTTAACTTTCTTTTTTCTTCTTCTTAACAGTAATTTTTTCTAAACTTTACTATTAATTCATTTTCTACTTTTATGATTATTTTTTACTGAATACGTTCACTATTTTTGGGAAATAAAATTCTTTACTCTAATCGAGTTTTTTGAAATTAAATTTTTATTTTTTTATTTATTTATTTTTTTTCTGATTCTTAGACTTTAATAAAAATATTGTAAAAAGTATATAAAAACAAAAAAAAAAATAAATTGAGGTAGAAATATTTGAAGATTTAATAAAGATTTTAAAAATAAATAGGAGAATAAGAGGAAGAAATAAAATAAATGGAATAAAATAAAATAAAAAATATTAAAATAATAAAATGTAATGAAAAATAAAATTATTTTAATAATAACATTATTTTAATAATAAAATTATTTTCATAATAAAATTATTTTAATAATAACATTATTTTAATAATAAAATTATTTTAATAATAAATATTATTATTTTAATAATAAAAAAATACTATTTTACTAACAATAAAAAATATTAAAAAATAAATTTTTGATAAAAAGGAGATTTTGAAACTCGATGAAATGAAAAGGAGATTTTTCCAATAACAAATAATTGAAAAAAAATAAAAATCTAATGAACTAGATGAAAATGAAAACACGCGTTGATAACGATAATTGAACACTTGCACTAGATCCTTTATTTCTGGTTGAAGAAGATATAGTTGAAGATTTGATTATTTTTCGCGATATAAACCTACCTGTTTATCGATCACTCTCACGACACTCTAAGTTTCTTAAACACGCTGGGTATGTCTTATATAGGCTCTTTCTCTCTCCTCCTCGAACACTTTCTCCATGCACAGTATACAACGTCTTGTGAGCTTTACACTTATATACTTACTCTTAAATACTCACCTTTGGGGATGCTGTGCCAAGGCGGTGGGGTTTGCCATGACTCACACCGGACCTTACGGTCCCTGAACTCCCGCGTGTTATGCATATTATATAAATCCCTACTCACTCACACACTGTCAATTTTTATTTTCGTACATACAATCCTTTAATTTTTCATTTTTCTCTCTCTCCCTTAATGTGCACTGAAAAAAAAATTTATTTCATTCAAATAAATATTTAATTGATTCAAATAATTTTTATCTCGAATTTTATTTAAAACAAATAAATTGTATTTAAACTACACTGAAAAAAAATTTATTTGATTCAAATAACCGATTAATTGACTAAATTATCAATTAAATATTTAATTAAATCAAATAATAATTATTGGAGTCAATTAAATGGTTCAGTTCATATTTGCTTCAAATACTGAAATTATTGGTTCAAATACCATTTAATTGACTAGAATAAATATTATTTAATTCAAGTAAATATTTAATTTTTAAAATTTTTTTAGTGTAATAAATATAGTATTTGTCTGTTTTCAAATAAATATTTATTACTTGAATTAAATAATTTTTATTTACCATCAATTAAATTGTATTTTTACGAATAATTTCAATATTTAAAGTAAATATGAACTGAACCATTTAATTAACTCAAATAAAAATTAAAATTTGATTCAAATAAATATTTACTTACATCAAATTTAATTTTTATGTCGAATTTTAATTGAATCAAATAAATTGTATTTGAACTAATAAATTTAGTATTTGCTGTTTATTATTTGTCAGTTTTCAAATAAATATTTATACTTGAATTAAATAATTTTTATTCACATCAATTCAATTGTATTTTTTATCAATAATTCCAATATTTACAGTTAATATGAACTGACTCATTTAATTAACTCAAAATAAAATGATTTGATTCAAATAAAAATTTAATTGATTCAAATAATTTTTATCTCGAATTTTATTCAAAACAAATAAATTTTATGTGAAGTAATGAATTTGGTATTTGAAGCAAAATTCAATTTATTTGATTCAAGGATATATTAATTTGCTAATAAATACCATTGAATTAACTCAAAGAAAAATTATTTGATTCAAATAAATATTTAATCTCTTCTTTGCTTGTGTGATACTTTTCAATATTTTCAATATTTTGTTCTAAATTTGAATAGGAAAAATATTTACTAATTTAAATTAGTGACTGACGTTAGATTTTTGATTTAGTAAATTTTGCTAATAAATTAGTAGAAAATACTATTTATTAGTAAAATTTACCAATAAATTAGTAGAAATTACTATTTATTAGTAAAATTTACTAATAAATTAGTAGAAAAAACTATTTATTAGTGAAATTTACCAATAAATTGGTAGAAATTACTAATTAATAGTAAAATTTACTAATCGCTTTTTTCTCTCTTTTGAAATAGTAAAAATGTTTACTAATTGGAATTGGTGACTGACATTTAGTTTTTGACCCAGTAAATTTTATTTCTTTTAGTAGAAAATACTATTTATTAGTAAAATTTATTAATAAATTAGTAGAAATTACTATTTATTAGTAGAAAATACTATTTATTAGTAAAATTTATTAATAAATTAGTAGAAATTACTATTTATTAGTAGAAAATACTATTTATTAGTAAAATTTATTAATAAATTAGTAGAAATTACTATTTATTAGTAGAAAATACTATTTATTAGTCAAATTTATTAATAAATTAGTAGAAATTACTATTTATTAGTAAAATTTACTAATAAATTAGTAATTAACTATTATTAAACAATTTATAAAAGTATTGTAATAAAACATGAAAAAATCGATTGCTCCGAGTCGAAGACTCGGAGTGATCGATTTCTTCATGTTTTCTAATAATTAAAAAATGACCGAGAGATAAAATCATTATTTTATATTACAAGAATATTTGTTACTGTAACTTTATCAAAATTATTTTCATCATTTTAATTCAATTTTTTTTCCAGAATTTTAAATTATTTTTTATGAAAATAATAATTGAATTCCTTAAAAAAAAATTTATTATTCATGAAAATAATTGAATTCCTGTGAAATTTTTATTATTAATGAAAATAATTAAATGTTTGCAAATAAATTTTATTAAAATCTTTTTTAGATAATTGAATTCTTTTTGGGAAATTTTATTAAAATAGTAAATATTGAAAATCATTGAAATTAGAAAAATGCATTTTATTTTTGAAAATAATTGAAATTAGAATAAGAATTTTTTTGATATTTATGAAAATAATTGAACTTTGGAGAAGAATTTTGTTATTTATAAAGATAATTGTGATTTTTACCAGAATTTTTTTCAATTTTTGAACATAGTTGAATTTTATAAGAATTTAATTTTTTTTTTTTGAAAATAATTGAATTTCTGCAATTATTTGTAATTTCTCCAAAATTTAATTTTTTTTTAGTGTTTTCAACAAAAATTTAAATTAGAAAATTTTTAAATACTATTTTTTTTAAAATTTATAATTTTATTTATAAAAGGTAGTAAGAAGTTAATTGTTGCTAGTTTCATTTAAAACAAATAAATTGTATTTGAACTGATAAATTTAGTATCTGAAGCAAATTCTATTTATTTGTTTTGAATAAGAGTTATTTGATTCAAGGAAATATTTATTTTTATAACAATTAAGAAATAACATTTAATTGATTTCAATAAATATTGTTTGATTAAAGCAAATATTTATTAGTCAATAAATACCATTTAATTGACTTAAATAAAAATTATTTGTTTGAAGGAAATATTTACTCGCTAATAAATACCATTTGATTGACTCAAATAAAAATTATTTGATTCAAGTAAATATTTCATTGATAATAGTCAAGTAATCGGTTATTTGAATCAAATAAATTTTTTTCAGTCTATTTAAATATATTAGGAAGAAATATTTTAACAATGCACCGAGAAAAAAAAATTTTTTAAACCGCAAATATAATTTACTTGAGTGGAATAAAAGTATATTTGTCTCAGAAATTACTAAATTTTCTATTTGTTTTGAATAAAAATTTTTTGCGGCATAAATAAAACTTTTATTTGAACTAAAAAAAATTTATTTGAAAGAAATATAAAGTCTAGTTGCGACTCTCAGTCAAATATATATTTTATTTTATTAAAAAAGCCACTAGTTGATTATTGAAACCGTGATTTTAAATATCAAATTACTTGATAAAGAACTAGGACTAAAAAAATTGGAGACTATTTGTTATTATTATTTTTATTTTATTACTATTTCTGTTTACTATTACGAACATTTTACGACACTTTTGATACTAGTTTTTATTTCTAAATCCAGTCCAAGGCCTGCAATTAATATTGAGATTAATTAACAATTATCGATTAAAATACATCCTAAAAGTGTGCTAATCACTTTTCATTACAAATTTATTAAAAAAAATTACAATAGGTAGTAATTAATAAAAATAATAATTAAAATTAATAACATAGTTTTGGGGCTGGGAATTAGTAATAATTTAAAATAGAGTAAATAAATTTTCCTAATAATATATTTTTAAACATTAATTAAAGTTTCTAATAATTTTAAATAATAAACAAATTCCAAAGTTAATTAATAAAAATAATAATTAAAATTCGTAATATAGTTTGGGGCTTAAAATTAGTCATTTAATTTAAAATAATAATAAATAAACTTTACTAATAAATTAATAATAATTTCAAAAATTAAATAAAGTTTTTATTAATAATTTTAAATAATAAATAAATTTCAATGTTAATTAAAAACAATAATTATTAAAATTAGTAAAATATAATTTGAGGCTCGGAATTTATTTGTGAAAAGAGTATAATTTCAAGGTGAATGAACTGTGTTTATGGAGAAAAGTATTATATTATATATTGTTATTAAAGATTTGTAAAATAATTAACCATATTGCAAACGGATATTTACTGTGTTTTATGAATGCAATACCTTCAGCGGGAAAAACCCACTTTCACACTGAGAAACAATTCCTTCAGACTTTCAATTCCTTCTTCAACCCTATAAGCATAATTACTTTATTTATAATGTAATCTTAAACTTTTCCTTTTTTTATTTCAACCAGAAGCGAACGAGAAGAAATTAAAAATAATATTTTGCACATTTTTCAAAATATTTTGATGTTAGAATTTCAAAATTTGTAATTAAAAAATTTCTCCACTTTTTTAGTATTTATACCCAATGGGAAATTTACAACTGGCGTAGTACTGCGCCAGCACTGGCAGCACTGGCGGCAAGGCTGAGAGACAGCACTGGCATGGCGCTGGGATGATAACGCCGTCTGGCGCTGCCGAAGTACTGTCTGTCAGTGCTGCCAGACAGCGCTGGCGCAGCACTGGACTAGTGCTGGCTGAGAATATTGCCGCAATAAATGCCGTATTGTTATTAATTAGTCGTAAATTCATAATTATAAATAATTTAACAACAAAATGGTAAATAATATTAATAAATAGTTATTATTCATAAAATATTTCTCTTCTTAAAAAAATTGTATTAAAGATGGAGACTAACAATATGGATATAGTAAATGAAGTAGAAAAAAATTGTTTATAACATTTAAAAATTAAATAATAAACAATTACAGTAAGTGTGCATTAGATTTTCATATTTTAGTATCTAACGATTGGAATCTAGAAATATCGCAAACCTATGAAAATAAACAAAATTGCTGACGAGGGGAATCGAACCTACGACCTACGGACTAACAGACTAACGCTCTAACCACTATGCTAACGACACATGTGTACAGTAAATTATTAATATCTCAGTATCATTCAGACATACAATTATTGAGTCAAAGATGAGAAAAAATAGGGATACGTTAGAAATAATAAATTGAAATAAAATAAATTAAACTAAATTTTTAATAATTAAATTAAATTACTTTACTTATTGCATTTAACATTTTACGTAATTCTTAAATTACGTGGTAATTTTTTAAT